GTTTTTTGTTTAAAAAATATGGGGGCTTTTTTTTAGTATTTGTTGGACCATTTGGGGTTATGTTTGGGGTATTTGTTTTTTTCGTCGAGAATCCCCCTGTAGGGGGACACGCCCGTTCTTTCCGTGCCCATTTCGGGCGTCCAGAGCTGTAATCTCTCCGACGAAGACCTCCCGGCAGTTGCCTCCTATACAAGAGGTGTGTGTGTGTGGGGGGGGGGGGCCTCTGCCGGGCCCGCGCGGAGGCGCGAGGGGGTACCTGCTGCCAGGAGCCTTGGCTTCGCTCGGACTTGTGCGCCCTTTTTCTCGGCGAGCAACTAAGGACAGTAAGAATCATACTAATAATAAGAATAAGAATGAACATATTAATAACCAAAATAATACGAATGCTACTACTACAAATACTTATAATTATTATACGAATAATGCTAATAATTATGATAAGGGTTTCAAGAAGACACGCAAAGGATCGAAGAGTGCAGGGGGGAACGGACATCTGAGCGACGGCGAGGAGCGGGCTCTCGTCTGGGAGGGGGGGCGGGGGCCCGCGAGGTCCGGGCGCTTCAATCTCATCACGCCGGGCGCCTGCCCGGGGGCCCTCAGAGATCGATCCGGCTCGAAATAAGCAGCGGACAGGTGGGGTCTAGGACTCCCCAGTCGAGACTGTGTACAACGTTGCAAGTATTCCGCGGCGACAGATCTCAGGGAGGGAGAGAGAGAGAGAGGGAGAGACAGAGAGAGGAGAGAGACGGAGAGAAATTTCCCAAACCCACCCGGGCAGGCCAACCAGGAACTTCACCCCACGCTCGCCCCCGAAGCTCAGGCCAGACCCCCACAGCATGCGGACCCGCGTATTCCCAGCCGTGCTTTGTCGGGCACACGTTCCAGCGTAGAGGGCAGCGCACTTGCCGCCTCTCCTGCTCCCGCCTCTTCCTTCCTCCTCCGTGCTTCCTCCTTCGAGTCCTTGGTCGCTGTCTCCCGCTCGCTGTCTCCTCTTTGTCGCCCCCCTGCGTGCTTGCAGGAGTGCAGCCGTCGCCGCGTCCATGCGCCCCTTCGGTGGGGTTGAGCGGAGCGATGGGCCAGCTCGACGTACCCAGATGAGACCGGGCCCTCTGCAGGGTGCTGTCAGGCGTACAACCGCGTGCGTTGTCAAGCGTGCCGCCTGTCACCGCCTTCCTGCGCGACCTGGGGGCGTTCGGTGGAGGGGTGACACACTCGGGCCGAGACGAGACTTCGCCCTTTCCTTGTGCTTGCAGTCGCGCAGCTCTCGCCGGCTTCCTGGCGCCCCGGGGGGGCGTCCGGCGGAGCGGTGAGCTCAGCGGACCCATGCGAGACCTCGCCCCTCCCCTGGGAGCTGCCAGGCGCGCCGCCGTCGCCGCGGTCCTGCGCCGCCGCGATGCGCCCCTTTCCTGCGCCAGCGGGGGGCATCAGAGCGACAGCCCTCGCGGTGCCTCGGGTTTCTCGTTGGCCTGCTCCCCTGCCTCACTTCTGTCCTCTCGCTTCGTCTCCTCCCTCCCCCATCCGGCTGCGCCCTCGTCGTCGTCGTCCTCGTCCTCGTCCTCGTCCTCGTCGTTGTCGTCGCTTCTGTCACGCCGCATCAGGGGTTACAGCATAGTTCCCTCTCTCCTCACTTCGCTTGCCCTCCCTCATTCGTCTGCTTCTCTCGCTCCGTCCCCCCCTGTACTGACATTGCATTTGTGATTGCTGACCGCTTGTGTCCTTTGCCCACAGTTTCGTGAAACAACTCAATTTTCCCTCTCGGCCCTCGCACTTCTTTGCCAGGGGAAGGCTTGCTGCTCAAACTGCGCCCCTGGACCCCGAATAAAGAAACACCAACTCCCACCGGAGACTTCATCACAAACATGCACGAATCGCGCTCTCGCTGTAGAAGTCCGTGCATTTTGCTCTGAAATCGCGCCCTTGCTCACAATTCTGCACAGGGTGCCGAAAAACCACGCTCTCGCCGTGGACTTCCTTCAACTCATTCGCGAAACGTTCCCTCGCTGTGTCATCCTCACGATCTCCTCGGAAATTGCATTCTCACTTCAGGACTTCCGCCTGCGAAGGGCCCGGCCGCCCGTCCCGCCCGCCATTGGCCCACCCGCCCGGTCGGCTAGTCCGCCAGACCCGCCCGTCGGGGTCCACAGGCCCGACCCGCCCGCCTGGCATGCCGCGCCCTGCCCCACCCGCTGGCCCGCGCGCCGGGCGCCCTTAAAGCCCGGCCGCCTGGCCCGCCGGTGAGGGTCCGCCCGCTCGCACTGTGTGGGAGCACGCTGGCCCGATGGGATGTCCCGCCGGCCCGTCCCGCCCGTCGGGGCCCCCCCGCCCGACCCGCCCCCTGCAGAGCGAAGATCCATAGCAGGGACGGGTCAGCTTCCCAAGGGCACCCTCGCGTCCCCAGGTTTGCTCGGCAGTGCGCCGCTTGGAAAACTTCACCTGGGCGTCCAAGGACCGTCCAAGGGTCTTGCGTCCTTGCAGCGCGTCCTTACTACAGATTTTGACTGTATAGGATCCGTGCGCCCAATCCGCCTGTTTGTGTCCGCCCGCCCGGCCCGCTTGTCTTCGCCTACCGGGGCTTGCCCCCGGAGCCGGCACGAAGAAGTATACGGTCCCAGCAGAGGGGATGCGTTCATAGACGAGGAGGGCGTGAGTCGAGGACTGGGAATACGCATGGTAAGTGATACGCGAGCAGAGAGGAGCGATCTGTTTTGATGTGGCCGTCGTCGTTGCATAGGTGTCCGCAGCGCCCAGATGTGCCGCAGACAACTCAGCAGCCTTCAGAGTGGATGTATCGACCCCCTCCTGTGCCCCCCCCCCTCTTTTTCCAATCGCTTCGGTGTCCCCGTCGTCGAATCTTCGTTTCTAGATCGCACTCTGTGTTTATGGAAACGGTTCTGGGCGCTCTCGCCCCGACGGCGGCTGGATTTTTTCCGAAACCGATGCTCCCGCTTGAGCGGGGACTTCACTCCAATTTGCGTTGTGTTGTTGAAGACCCGGCTACGACGACAGCTTCCTCGCATTTTTTTATCCGAGACGACTTGGCCAGGTATGCCTCCCCTCAAATTCAAGGACGGCGCTCTGGCCCGAGTCTTCTTTGCAAACCACTCGGTTGTTGAAGGCCCACCCACGACGACAACGGCTCTTGCTCGACACTTCTGCGCAATTTACTCCGAGAGGTCCTGGCCAGAGAGGTCCCCTCACTCAGGAACGGCGTCCCTGCTTGAGACGTCTTCGCATGTCATTCAGTGTCATGAGAGCCCAGCTAAGACGACAATTCCTCGACGTCCTAGAGGCCCCCAAACTCTAGAACGGCGCTCTCTCTGAGTTGCCCGAAGGCGCGTTAGACCGCATGGTGGCGCTGTGCGCACAAAGTGCGCGCTGCGGAATGCTTCTCCCGGGTGCGGGAATGAAGTTACGACCCCCCCCCGTATTTGGGGTTGGTTCATCGATTTAGGTCCAAGCAGCATGTTAGGTTACGTGTTCGAGAGATAGTCGTTGTCGCTGTCGTGGACGCTTGACGTTTCACTCTGCCACGCCAGCTTCAGACAGTCGTCTCACAACCTAGCCAACGCACGTCTGAGTTTTACGACTCCAGCTGTGACGCTGGAGCTGTCAGGCGTGTCGGATGGGTTGAGTACGTACGTCCGTCGTCAATCAGTGTTTTTAGCCTTCACGGGCCCTGCTCAAGCACTCCTTGGGCGCTTTCTGGTGGCTTCTTGGTGCGTCTCGCTCCTCTCAGTGACTCTTGGCACCACTGCGAGTTCTCGGGGCCGTCGCTGGTTCGTTTGAGGGTATTTTGCGCAGGCGTCGCCTGGAACCGTCCTGGGGTCCTGCAAGGCGCTCGGGATCAGAACGTCTGCAGAAACAGGAGCGGGTGGTTGGTGGTATGGGCGGTTAGCCCTTGAGAATATCCAGCTGCCTCCAGCAATTCTGCCACTGCGCTGGCGCAGCATTCTGGATGGCAGCTATCGCCAAGGGCCCCCCCCGGAGTAGGAGGGGTGCAGGTGACAGTCTGTGTCCCGCGGAGGAGGGGGTCCCTTAGAAGACTGCAGATGCCCTGCCAGACAGTATTTCGCATTCTTCCACGCCTCAAAGTGCTGCGGGCACGGTGGCGGAGTACAGAAACGTGACCGGTGACCGGACAGTCAGCAGGAGCTTCTGGCACGCCCCATCCAGCCGGAGGCGTGGTGGCCTGGGAAGGGTCATCGAGAATAAAAGAACCCCTAACCCTAATAACAAAGTGATTTCGTGGCCTCATTTGGGCCCCCGTCTGCGCATTAGGGATAATGCATGTGGGCGGTTGGATCTCATTCACCTGCAGGAAGAAAATTATATCTCATGTTTTTGGCCCTCTAAACTTAGGGCCCCTCCCAAAGTCGGGGGCGGCAATGAGGGGGGTGATGACTAGAGGGGGGTGGATATCATGGCGGGGGCCATGATTTTTTCCTCCGATTTCATGGCGCCTCTTCTTATTTCATTACGTCCCTGGCCCCCCCGCTTGGGCCGCGCACATGCCGCCGGCCATGATTTGCACCCCCCCCTCTTGGACACCCCCCTCTTGGCCGCTCCCGATTTTGACGGTCCCAGGGGCGCGGTGTGAGGGCCCCTTTAAGAGGCTCGAAACAGCAGAACAAACATCCATCCGTCGTGCGTTTCCCCCCCCCCCCCCCCCCGGAAGAAGAACCAGCAGATAGAAGAAGCAAGCCAACAAAGCCCGAAACGCACAGAAGGGGGGGTGCCTGGGCGGAGGTGGGATGGGGCGGGGAGGCGAAGGGGGGGGGGGAGTGGGGAGGTCTGGGCGGGGCCCCCTTGCAGGAGCCCCTGGTGGCCCCCTCGTGGCCCCGTTGCGCCCCTTCGTGGCCCCCTCGCTGCCTTTCGTGGCCCCGTTGCAGCCCTTCGTGGCCCCGTCGCTGCCCTTCGTGGCCCCGTTGCAGCCCTTCGGCGACTGGGAGGCGAAGGGGTGGCGGAGGCGGGCAAGGGGAGGGAGAGCCCAGCGTCCTCAGGTGTTCTACGCCAACGGGTGGGCCCCCTTCGCCGAGCACCCGCACCTCCTCGAGGACGTCTCCGACAGGCTCTACTGCGTCCAAGACCGCGCCGGGCGCTCAGGACAAAGCCAGCGGGAATGGACGGGAAGGAGGAGGAGGAGGAGGAGGCGGAGGAGGAGGAGGAGGAGGAGAAGGAAGAAGAAGAAAGGTTGGGTTGGGGTGGTCTGGTAGGTGGTAAAAAAAGCTGCCCCGTCGACGACGGGACGGGAAGGCCAGCGGGAAGTGACGGGAAGGAGGAGGAGGAGGAGGAGGAGGAGGAGGAGGAGGTGGAGGGTGACCACGCTCAATCCATTATCTATGTTTTTTTCCCGCGTTCACATGGTCGCCATCCGCTTGGATAGGCCACGGGCTCAACACCCTTCAGGTGCGAGCAGTCGAGTGAGGTGGGGCCGGAGGAGGAGGAGGAGGAGGAGGAGGAGGAGGAGGAGGAGGAGATGGGGTGGAGGTACATCTTAGGACGCCTGCGGCGAACAACCGACGCCTTCTGCCCTTCGGACACGACGGTGGGCTGAAGTGTCGAGCGAAGGCGCGTCACTGCTGGTGGGCTGCGTGCTCCCCCAGAGCCCACTGCGGGAACCTAGGAGAAGGGGCCCTGTGGGGTCGCCCCGGGGGCCTCGGGGGCCGTCTTCGGCCGTTTTGGGACCGCCTCGGGATCGACTTGGATGCCATCTCGGGTCACCTCGACCATGTTGGAGGGCTCTCTTGGAGTCACCCTGGACGGAAGAGCCCATGCGATGTGCAGGTGGCGGGTTTGGGCCGAAAGCCACTCGAGTGGCGCGGAAAAACGCGGCCGTCTTCGCCGACATGGGCGCGTAAGCTGCCCGCGTAAGGTCGCGTGTGAGCGCCCTCTTCTCCAAGGCGGCGTGCCGCACTGGCGGCCCGAGTAAGCCGCCGCGCAAGGTCGCTACGCCACCCCGCGTAAGAGCCGCCTCTGATCGTCGCCCACTCGGATTGTACAGGTGGCCCGGATTAGTAGGTCGACCCTGCCAAATCAAGGGTACCTTTGTGTCCTGCGTCTCACGCACGACCCGTGCCTTCTGCATTCCTGTTGCAATTTGACCCTGGGAAGGGTTTTTAGTCCTCTCGCGTTTCCTGTCCAATGAAGTCCGACTGTATTGGAAGGGACAGGCAGAGTCACAAACCGTTGCACGTCAACACACCACGGCCAGGCTGCGGGTGCGGCGGATCGGAGACTCGCCTGGCGCGCCTTGCGCCCCAGGGAGGGGGGGTCCTTCACCGCTCGAAGGAAGCCGTGCGATCCTCCGACCGTTGATCTATATGCGGAGGAGGAGGAAGAGGAGAAGGACAACGAGGATGAAGAGGAGAAGGCGGAGGAGAAGGAGGAGGCGGGGGAGGAGGAGGTGGAGGAGGGAGGAGGAGGAGGATGGCGGAGGAGGCAGGTGATAGTGATGATGATGATGATGATGATGATGATGATGATGATGATGATGAGGAGGAGGAGGAGGAGGAAGAGGAGGCGAAGTGGAGGCAGAGGCGGAGGAGGAGGAGCACGAGGAACATGAGGCGGACGAGGAGCAGGATGGAGTGGAGGAGGAGGGGGAGGAGGAGGCGGAGCAGGATGATGATGATGATGATGATGATGATGATGATGATGATGATGATGATGATGATGATGATGATGATGATGATGATGATGATGATGATGATGATGATGATGATGCTGATGCTGATGCTGATGCTGCTGATGCTGATGATGATGATGATGATGATGATGGATGATGAGGAGGAGGAGGAGGAGGAGGAGGAGGAGGAGGAGGGAGGACGAGGATGGCCATGCTGGTGTACGTGTTCCTTTCAAGGGCCCCCCTTGCTGGGGGACCCCACTTGGAGTAAGCGCCGCCGCCCGCCTGTGCCCGAGGCGCCGACCCAAACGTCCTACCGATGGCGAAGAGAAGAGACGAGAGCGGAGGAGGAGGAGGAGGAGGAGGAGGAGGAGGAGGAGGAGGAGGAGGAACGCGGGGAGGAGCACGAGGAGGAACACGAGGAGGACCACGAGAAGCATGCGGCAAAGGAGGAAGAGGAGGAGCAGGAGGAGGAGGAGGAGGGGGAGAACCACGAGGAGGAGGAGGAGGATGAAGAGGATTACGAGGAGGATGAGGAGAAGTACGAGAAGAGGAGGAGGACGAGGAGGAGGAGGAGGGGGAGGAGGAGTGGGGTAGGGAAGGAGGAGGAGGCGGGCAGGAGGAGGAGGAGGAGGAGGAGGAGGAGGAGTAAGAGGAGCACGAGGAGAAGGAGGGGGAGAAGGAGAAGGAGAAGGAGGAGGAGGAAGAGGAGGAGGAGGAGTTCGATTTCGAGGAGGAGGAGGAGGAGGCGAAGCAGGAGGAGAAGGATGAGGAGGAGGAGGAGCACGAGCAGCAAGATCGGCGGCGCGATCGTTCGGGACGCCGAGGTCCCGCGCGGCAACGGCCCGGCTGGGGAGTTTAACAACAGCCTCACCAAGGTGTTCTTCGGCCCTGCCGTGGGCTCGGGCATGGCCTCCCACTGTCGAAGAAGAAACAGCGGCAGAACTGAGACCTATGAAGGAAACGTCGAAATAACACACAACGGTTTCCCACGTCGAAGGGACGAGCACGCCGAAGGAACGAACACGTCAAAGGAGCAAACACGACATCCCACGTGCAATGAGCTAAGAAGGCGCCTTTCCCATTTCGATGGAACAACCTGCTGCGTAACCGCACATTGTCGAAGCTCGTGCGGACTTCTCGGATCGGCGCTGGACCCCCTTAGCGGCGCTTCAGACGCCGCCCCTGGCGCGCTCCTCTCGCCAGGCAGGAGTGTCCAGCGCCCATCCAAAAGATCCGCGCGGACCCGCGACAGTTTGTGCTGATGTTGTTGTTTGTTCATCTACACCGCCCGCTCAGGTCATGTCCCCCGTACCCAACAACCAGGAAAGGAGAATCGGTAACAAACACGACAACAGGAGTCAGCAAAACAACGGCTCCGGAATTGGAGCGGGAACCGAAACCGGCAACAAAACGGCGACAGAACAGGAAAACAAACAGTGCCAAAACCAGCAGCGAAAAAATTGCCAAACGGAGCCGGTGAACGAACGGCTGGGATTTTGGGCCCACTCGGCGTCGAGTCAAAGTTTCATTTCCGTCGTCGCCCTCCTGCTCCTGGTGCAGTCGACCCGATTCTATCTCGACTCCGTGCCGGTGCCCGTCCGATTTGACGCACAGTCCGATTCGACCCGATTCTCTGATTCGAGGCTGGCTGGTTCTGGCCTCGAGTCATAGTTTCATGTCCGTCGTCGTCCTCCTGCTCCTGGTGCGGCAGGCCCGATTCGATTTCGACTCCGTGCTGGTGCTCGTCCGATTTAAATTGACGCACAGTCCGATTTGACCAGATTCTCCGATTCGATGCTGGCTGGCCCTGTCCTCGGCCCACTCGGCCTCGAGTCGAAGCGTCCCGGTCGTCGTCGTCTTCCTGCCAGGAGGGGGAGTAGCATACGGACACAATGAATCGTCGACCCCCAGGAGAATATGGGAACGTATGGGAAGTGGAGGGGAAGACGAAGCGTCTGAATACATATATATAGATACAATCATGAGAGAGAGAACAACAAAAAACAACAAAACAAATCTTGGGCATCCTGGGAGTTGTGCGTGTATTTCTTCATGCGTCCCTGGGCCCCTTCTCCGCCTGCTCTTCCTCTCCGAAAAGGCCGCGTGCCGTCCGAGAGGTGTTTTCGCCCCCCCCCGATGACGACGGAGGGTCTCATGTTCTTGAAGGGTGTGCTTCTGGCCTTGCTGCGACTGTATAGGAGAGGACACACGAATATTCCCCCTTCGGCCTGCTCCTCCTCCTCCTCCTCCTGATCCCCCTCCTGGAGGCGCGCGGCAGCGAGGAGGCAGGAGGGGGGGGGGCAGACGGTAGTGATGACAGCAGCAGTAGCAGTAGCCAGTCTATCGGAGACGTGCTGCTTCCCTTGGGTAATCTTTGCCTCCTCCTCCTCCTCCTCCTCCTCCTCCTCCCCCTCCTCCTCCAGCGCCAGCTCGGGTCGAGCCTCCGTCCCTTCGTGCCGAGCCCGCGCCGCGGGAGCCCTTCCGCTCCTCCCCCCTTCGCCGCGGGCCGTCCTCCCTCCCCTCGCCTCCGTGCGCGCGATGCGGGAGGAGGCCGACGGCGGGCGCCGGCGCCGCCCCAGCCGGTCCGCGGCCGGGCGCCGGGCGCAGTAGCTACCGGCGCGCGGAGGCGCGGGCCGCTGCACGCCTCCTGGACGCGTTCGCGGCGGTCGCGGGCCACCGCGGGTTCGCCGCCACCCGCCTCAGCGCGGCCCTCGCGGAGGCGCTCGCGCGGGCGGACTGTCTTGGCGATGCTGGAGGTGGCGGCGCGCAAGTCGGAGCAGATGACGCCGCTGAGATCGACGGCGAGCTCGCGCAGCTCCGCGCCTCGGCCGCGTCGCACGTCGTACTCCCGGTGACGCCAGAGCGGTGCCGTTCAGGCGTGGTGGTCCTGCCGCCGGTGCTTGCCCCGACGGTCGACGTGGACATGGCTGCCATCGAGGTGTCCCTCAACAGCTGCACTCCATCGTCGAGGAGACGAAGGCCGACGTGCGCGCCCTGGAGCACATGGCCACGGTCGACGCCACCGAGTAGGCCAGGCAGGAGCGCTCAGCCTAGCCTCCGCCGAGCGCCGCGAGCTGGAGGCCCAGCTCGCAGCCGCCCGCTCCGCCGCGGTGGAGCTGGCGGCGGCGGCTGGTACGGAGACTTGAGCGGCAGGGCCGTCACGAGGGACGCTGATGGCATGCTGTGCTGGAAGCCCGCCTGCGGCCGTGGCCGCCGCGGTGTTGCCGCCCAAGGCCGTCTTCCTGCGGCATTGGCCCGCTCATCGGGGCGCTGCAGCGTGATGGCGGCATGGCTACCCTCCGAGGCAGCGGCCCGCTCCTCGGGGCGCCTCGGCCTGCGTTCGGGCCAGGTCTCAGCGGCAGTGGCCCGCTCATCGGGGCGCCGCGTGGAGCGAGAGCGTTGCTACCAGCGGCAGTGGCCCGCTCCTCGGCTCGCCGTTTTTCAACGATGAGGGCCCTTCTTCCTGCGGCAGTGGCCCGCTCATCGGGGCGCCGCGTGCAGTTTGCGGTTCTTCCCTTCTCAGCGGCAGTGGCCCGCTCCTCGGGGCGCCGCTGGCAGGGGGTGACTTTGCAGAGGTGGACGCTGATGGCTCCGGCTGCGTCGAGGTCGGCACCGACGACGTCGTCGCGGCGGAGGCCCAGGCCGTCAGCGAGCGGGACGGCGGCGAGTCCCTGCGCCAGGTGGAGGGCGGGGCCATGCTGCAGCCCCCCTCCTGAGGCCGCTGGCCTTTCCCGTGCCACGGGCGCGGGGGCGGGGCGCGTCGGCCCCAGTCGAGTCGCTTCCGCTTCGCTCGCACTCTCACTCACTCTCCCCTCCTCCTCCTCCTCCTCCTCCTCCTCCTCCTCCTCCTCCTCCTCCTCCTCCACCCAACTCCCAGTCCTCCTGCGAGTTGGGTCCTCGTTTTGAGTCCGCATCGCCGCGCGTCTCATCCTCCTCTTCGCCTTCCCCTGCTCCCCCCATCTTCCTTTTTCTCGCCCTCCTCGTCCTGATCCTTCTCCTCCTCCTCCTCCTCCTCCTCCTCCTTCTCCTCCCTTTTCCTCCTCCTCCTCCTCCTCCTCCTTGTCCATCCTCTTCTTCTTCCTCCTCCGACCGCTCCTGCTGATGCTAACTGCACTCCGTCCGGCCCACGCCGCGCGTGCGCGCCTTGCCCCCGCAGGAGGAGGCTGGGGGCCACATGGCGTCCCTCCGCCCATGTCGGCGCATCCCTCACGCGCGTCCTCCCCCCAAGGAGGCTCCACCTCAGGCCTCCAGTGGGGGAGACCACACGGAGCCCCCCCGCCCATTTTTGTTCGGCGCACCGCTCACGCGCGTCGTGGCCCAATGGGGAGCTCTACCGGAGGCTCCAGCGGCTGCGTCAGCGTGCCCCTCCGCCCCATGTCGCGGCACCCATCGCGCGCTTCGTTGCCACGCGGAGAGTTCCGCCGAAGGGCCCTCAGAGACTGCGTCCGCATGGTGCCCCGCCCCATTCCAGCTTACCCCTCGCACGTTCCATGGCCCCATAGGGAGCTTCAGTTCGCATGGGGCCCAGCCCCATTTGGGCACACCCCTCACACGTTCAGTGTGGTGTGACGCTTCTGGAGAAGCGTTCAAGAGGGACCACGGGCACATACCCCCAGCGCGACGGACAGCCGCCCGTCGGCCAACCGCGCGGTCGATCAAAATAGAGGGTTGCCAGCAGGTGCCCCGATGGCCCGGGGGATGCACCAATGCTCGGAGGCACCTCTGGGCCGTCAAAAGTCGACGAACAATGCCCGTCAATCTACGTAAATGCACATATATATAAATATATGCGTATAGGTTTATACATCCATACATGCATACAAACAAACATATATACATGCAAACATGTGTGTATGTAGATATATGTCAGCAGTCCTTCTTCTCGTAGGAGTCTGCTGCATCACCCTCACCGTCCTGGGCCCCAGGGCCGTGGACCAACGTCTCGGGATGGACGTCGACCGAGGGCCCAAGGTCCAGACAGGCGGCCCTTCGCGCGGCGGTGGCGTCGGCGTGTCCGAATGCGCACCTCCGTGGACGAGCCCTCTGCGAGCGATTCGATCGCCCCCCGCGATTCAGGGCAGCTTTCGTGGTGGTGCTTGCGCGGCAGCAGGAGGGATGAGCAGATATGGGCAGCGAGAGCCAGGGTCGAAAGGGTCGTCACCGACCGGCGATGTGCCGAGGAGAAATAGGAATACGCGAGCACTGGCGTGGAGCGAACGCTGCACAGGCCGCCGCATGACCCGCAGGGACGGAGTCGCTGCGGACTGAGGCGGGAACCGTCTCGCGACTGCACCACGACACCTTCGCAACCCACGTGTGGCTGTCGCAGATTCGTGGCCGGAAGCAGTTCATCGTCTACCCTCCCGAGGAGCGCCCCGACCGCCCCCCGCAGTGGATTGACATGACTCGTCAGCTCCTTCACCTCCCCCTGCTACTGGTCCTCGTCCTCCTCAACCTTCTCATCCCCTTTCTCCTTCTTGTCCTCCATACCCTCCTCCCCCTGCTCCTCCTACTCTTCCTCTTCCTCCGATATTATATCGGCCCAGTTGCGCCCAACCGCCAGGGACGCGCAGCGGGCCTTGTGGCGGTCGACTTGAGAATAGCATCTCAGCCGCGAGCCAGGGAGCTGTTCGAGCGCTGGAGGCACGCGCAGAAAGGGCCGAGCAGACGAACGATGGGAGGGGTGTGACTCGCAAGAGGCGGGCGCAGATGAGAGCTGGATTTTCTGCCAGTGCCCGTGCTACCGCAAGCACAAGCCATGAAGCACGACTCGGCATGCAAACTGCCGCAGTCGTCGATGTTGTGTGAGGGGACCCGCTGTTGGACAATCACTGAATCTTGCTGCTGTTGTGGGGAGGCGGAGGTTGACTGGGTGCACGGCCTTCGTTCATCGCGACGTGCGCGGAGACGCAACCCGTTCAGTACGTGAGTTGGTGATACGTGTCACAGCGCGCGCTTACTTTCCAGTAGATGGTTGGATTTGGTATTTGCACTGACCCACTTGCCTGAGCTCCTGTGCCATTGTCATTCGCACAGTTGCTACCCTTTGCCAGCTCAGCGCTAGACTGGGTTGTGTTCGACATGCAGAAGTATGCGGCACGCGCCCACTGCAGCTCACCGGCCCACAGCTGGTATCAGTTTCCAGATTGTGCTTGGTTCTACCAATGCAGCCTGGAAAGGAGCGCACCCGCCATCGCAAAGTTGGTTCGGGATCAGTTTTTGCTCAGAACCGATCGGTATTCCTTTTACTTCGCGGGTGCTGAGTCCGCAGTGCCTAGTGCCTTGTGGAATCACGAGGTGCTAATCATCCGCTGAGGCCCCCAGCACTCTTGGCCCTGCAGCGCAGCAGATAGGATCATCTAGGGCAGTCCTCCTCTTCCTCCTCTTCCTCCACCTCCTCCTCCTCCTCCTCCTCCTTCTCCTCATCCGCCTCCTCTCTCGGGAGAGGGAGGAGGAGAAGGAGGAGGAGGAGGAGGAGGGGCGAGGGGCAAGGTTACTTACCTCTAAGGTCCTTTATCTTTCGTCGTCGGCGAAGTCGTAGTCGTAGTCGTAGTCGTCGTCGTCGTCGTCGTCGTCGTCGTCGTCGTCGTCGTCGTCGTCGTCGTCGTCGTCGTCGTCGTCGTCGTCGTCGTCGTCGTCGTCGTCGTTGTTGCGCGGCGGGTGCCGCGGAGAAACCACTATTTTCCATTACCAGTCGGACCCCAGTGCGTTAATAAGGCGTCGAAAAAGGATAATCAGCTTCCACTGTTGGGGGGTGGTTCTAAGGACCCTTAGGAGTTATTGCCCTCCTCAGCAGCAAACGTCATGCCACAGCGAGCCGCTGGGCCCGGCTCCCCCGCCCCCTGGCTGCCCCTGCCTCTGCCCTCCTTGCTCCTCCTCTCCCTGCCCCGCCCCATGCCACTCCCCTGTCCCTTCCCCTGCCCCTGCCCCTGCTCCTCTCCTTGCCCTCGCCCCTCCCCCTGCCCCTGCCCTCTCCTTGCTCCTCCTCTCCTTGCCCTCGCTCCTCCGTCACCTCCTCCCTCCCATCGCCTCCGGGCGCCCCAGAGGTCTTCGGGAGGCCTTCGGGCGTCCCAGGAGATTTTTGTCAGATGGGCGGGAGGCCCGGCGGACATCCGAGATCCTCCCGCCGCTGCGGCCTTCTCCCTCGGCTCTCCGCCTGCCGCTTGCCGCTCCCCCCCTCCCGCCCCCCTCCCCGCAGGGGGCGTGGCGGTGCCCGCTCGGCCGCCGCGCTGCGCCGCGGAGGCGCCCCGCCGCCCGCGGTCTGCGGCATCCCGCCCCCGAGGACGCCGAGAACCTGCACTGCGTCGCGGACGAGGAGATGGACGGCAGGACCTGCCTCGTCGTCCTCCTCGTACTCCTCCTCCTCATCCTCCTCCTCGCCTCCAGGCCACGCTCCCCCCCCCCTCCTCCTCCTCCTCCTCCTCCTCCTCCTCCTCCTCCTCCTCCTTCTCCTCCTCCTCCTCCTCCTCCTCCTCCTCCTCCTCCTCCTCCTCCGGCTCCTCCTCCTCCTCCTCCTTTGCCTTCTCCTCTGCCTCCTCCCTCCCTCCTCCCCCTCCTTCTGCTGCGCCCGGTCACAGGGGCCGAGGCGCGGGGGTTCAGATTGCTGCTCTCGCCCGCCTGTTCCGTGCAGCTACCACGGGCCCGGTCGATGTGGACTACGATCGCCCCGGGCTGCCTCACAAGAGGCCGAGGACCATACAGGTATATGAGTTCGCAAGCCTAGAGCTTGCCACCACTACCAAGATCGGCGGTGTGCCGCCACCGAGGGAGGACGATCCCGATCTCGGTGATTGTGGTAACACTTTGGCTTCCAAGGAGACCGAAATATCACCACCAATACCGAAATCTAGGATCATCTCCCCCATGTGGAGGCAACCCCCTGTGCTGGTGTTGGTGCCAATTTCCAGGCCTACAATAATTTGGAGACTGCATCCCATGGCTCGTAATTTGGTTATGGCGGAGATGTTTGCAACAGACCATGAATTATGGGGTACGCAGCCTTCCCTCTCGTCGCCCTCGGCAGGTACCGCAGTGGGTCATCCACATCTTCTGGGCAGGAAGCCTGCTGTGACGCCTCTCCTCGTCTGTGGTATGCCCGAGAGTTGACATTGTGTGGTAGCCCCAGGATCATTCTCACACATGAGGCACACACAAGCTCTTCGGCCCCATCCCTCCGTTCCTCCCCTCTTTCCCCCCCCTCCCGTCCGCGCCCGCGGGTCGTTGACCGCGCGTCTGCGCACGAGTGCGTGGGCGATCGCCGCGGGTTCCACGGCGCTGCTCCGTGGGCGCGCCCGCACCCGCGTCCGCCCCCGTGACATCTGGAGGACGGGGATCCTCCGGTCACGGCTTCTGTCCCCGCGCCAAGGTGCGGAAAACCGTCGCGCCTGGAGAGGGGGAGTCCACCTGTGATTGGGCATTGCTCGGACGTGTGCGGTCAACCTCGGCGAGGTACATCAAGGAGCTTACTGCCTCATGTTGCGAACATTCGCGCACGAAGTCGAACAAAGCACGGGGAATGGACGTCTGAGCGATGGCTGTGAGTGACGGTTCTCGTCTCGCTCCACCGTCGCCACCATCGCAACAGCATGCCAGGGAGCGAGTGCCTGAGCCAGAGGGTCGGGTCGGGTCGGCCAGTCACCTTCCTTCCCTCCTTGGTCGGCGCAGCTGCTCCTCCTCCTCCTCCTCCTCCTCCTCCTCCTCCTCCTCCTCCTCCCCCTCCTCCTCCTCCTCCTCCTCCTCCTCCTCCTCCTCCTCCTCCTCCTCCCCCTCCTCCTCCTCGTCTTCCTCCTCGTGTTATTCCTCCCCTCCTCCTCCTCCTCCTCCTCCTCTTCCTCCTCCTCCTCCTCCTCCTCCTCCTCCTCCCCCTCCTCCCCCTCCCCTCCTCCTCCTCCTCCTCCTCCTCCTCCTCCTCCTCCTCCTCCTCCTCCTCCTCCTCCCCCGCCTCCTCTGTAATCCTCCCCCTCCTCCTCCCTTTCCCCTCCTCCCGGGCGGGCTTGGCGGCGAGGGCCGGCGCCAGCGCGGCCGACGAGCCCGCGGGCCGCGCCCGGCAGAAGGCGCACCAGACAGAGGAGGAGGCGAAGAGGGCGGCCGCGGAGGGGGAGCGGGGGAGGCCTGAGGCGTAGAGGCCTATAGACCCCAATCGAGTCTTCGGATGCACCTCCTGGGAGGTCGAATTCTGATGTTGCCCTGGTCCGAAGTCCGGCTGACTCCCGCTGAACACCGCTTAGTCCGGCTTAATCCCGCTTAATCCGAGGCCCACTCCTGCGCAACAGCTCCCAAATGGGGCTTAATCTAATTTTTCCGACGAAAACCTCCCAGTAGTTGCCTCCTAACGAGTCCTGGAACAATCACGGCGGAGGACTTTTGTGCTACGCTCGGCCTCTGGGGGACCTCACGTGGCCTCGGGACCTTCCAAACACGACCCATGGTGACAGATTGGCTCCAGGTGAGGGGTCGAGGTCTGAGGGGGTCGACGCTGCTGTTGTGGACAGAAGCCGCAACGTCGAGGGTCTGGGGAGTCTACACCACAAGGAATGTGCGGGCAGCCTCGGGCACCCAGAACCGGTGTACCGGGTACTGGATCAGCTCGGGGCTCAAGAGACGGGGTTCAATGCAAACGGGGTTCAGCCAGGGCACCGGATCCTGCAGGATCCTGCGAAAATCCCTTTCTGGCTGACCCGGATTAGCGAGCCGCTCGTGGCCGCGCGGCGGCCGCGCATATTGGCTGACCCGGGTTTGCGAAGACCTGCGTTGCAGTGTTTGTTCCTGCATTGCAGTTTTTTGGTTTCTTGCTGACCCGGGTCTGGATTGTTCCGGGTCAGAAGATCCCCGATCAACACGAACGAAACGGGTACGGAAAGAATGGGTACGATGCCCAACAGCAGTTCCTGTCCACTTTGGACAGGACTCGCTGTCCACGCCGCCGCGGCCTGTGCCAACTCGAGACAGAAGGACGCCTGCCCAACAGCGGCCGCTGTTGGTTTGGGACAACACTTGTTATTGGGCATTGTACCCATTCTGTCCGTACCCATTCCGGGCGTCCACACTGGAAGGTTGGCGGTCAGCATCGGAAGCTCCACACAACACACCACCAAGCGACAGGGCGAGTCACAAGAGAACGGCTCGGGAACCTTGGCTCACAGTCGCCGGCGGCAGGACCAGCCTCTTCTACACGGTGACGTTCGCTCACGTTCGTGCGACGACTCCTCGCTTCGTTGCCGCCCGTCCCCTCTTTCCTCGTTCTCGGGAACTGGGACACATACATTGCCAGTGGCGGGCTGCTTCTCAATCCCATGACTTTTTGAGGGTTGGGGGCGACGTCGGGGCGGTGTGGTGTATACTTGTTGTTCCGCTTCCCAGGAACCAGCGAAGCATGTATACACCAGGGTCCCGTATACACCCAGATCCGCTTTCCTGTGCGAATTTAGGCGCCGGGCCGGAGCAGGCGTCGGTGTATAGAGTTCGGTTCCTTACGTTCTCCTCCCCAAAAAAGGGCGCTGTGCTGCCGTGGGAATTCAGAGCCGCTGGCGGCAGGACCAGCCTCTTCGACCCGTCCGCCCCGGACTTCGGCACGTACCCGAGGGCCCGCAACGCGACGCCCTACAGGAGCCCACTCGCGCGCCCCGGCGCCTCCGGGGGCGGGGAGAACGGGAGGGGGGGGTCCGAGGGGGGAGGACGGGGAAGGGGGCGGGCTACGACCGCCCCCCTTTCCAATGGGAGGTCCTGGCCCGCGGGTTCCGGGGCCCTTGTGAGCCTCTTCCTGGCCCCTCCTCCCCCTCTTCGTGTTTCGCCTCGGGTCAGGGCTCGGCCTCTGTACCTTCCGTAGCCCTCTGGGCTTAGCGCATTGATGTCTGTGGCGCTGTGAAAGAGAGAGAGAGAGAGAGAGAGAGAGAGAGATCATTCTCCCTACGATGCCTCCGATGGTGATTCGCTGCATCGGGCCGAACGGGATTCGATGTTTTCGCACGGTTTTTTCGTGAGTCGCAGGCGGGTTCCAGCCTCAAAGTGCTCTCCAGCAGCTGCGCCTCGCCGAGGGCGCTCTGGGGGTGCCGGAGAGCAGAGCTACAGTCGGGGCGCTGAAGAAGGAAACCTTTTCGTTGGGGAGGGGCTCCGTTGTCCTTCAATGTTTCACAGATTGCCTTTGGTTCTCCGTGAGTTTGCGATGGGGAATCGAAGTTCTTCGATTGTACTCCCTTGGGGGCCCGTCGCCGATGCATCGCCGACTCCAGGTCCCCCCCCCTCAGCTGACCCGCCGCTGGCCTTGCCCCTCGTCCCTTCCCCCCCTTCCCCGCGCCCGCCCCGAGCCCCCCCCCCGTGCGGCGTGTCGCGCCCCGCCCCCCAGCGTCGTGGTCGAGGAGGGCGAGACCGTGATCCTGCCGTCGAGGTGGCTCCACCACCGCTTTTCCTCCTCCTCCTTCTCCAACCTCCCCCTCCTTCTCCTCCTCCTCCTCCTCCTCCGCCTCCTCCGCCTCCCTCCTCCCTCCTCCTCCAACCACCTCCTCTCCTTATGCATAATTTATCTCTGTGGCGCCCCGAGGCTTGTTTTTAGGGCGGGCCGGGCGTTTCGCCTGAGACTTCGTCACCGCTTATGACCATGAAGCTCAAAAAGTGGCAACAATTTCACAGATTGAGGGCGGCTGGTGTTCAACATGTGGTTCTCGCTTGAGGGCCGCGCACAGTTGTTTTAACAAATTCTCAAGAGTCTCACAGTTTGAGGGCGGATCGTTTTCAACATTTGGCTCTCGCTTTAGCGCCGCGCACATGTGTTTACACATTTGCAAGAGTTTCACGGATTCAGGGCGGGCCGTTTTCAACATGTGGCTCTCGCCGTTGCGCCGCGCACATTCGTTTCAAACATTTGCCAGAGTTTCAAAGATAGTGGGCGGGCCGTTTTCAGACTGTGGCTCTCGCCTAAGCGCCGCGCGCATTGGTTTTTGCGCATATTCGCTTATCCTGTGATCAGGAGCCCACTGATCAGCTTACCAGAATTTATGTTCTGGAAAGGCTCAGTGCCATAGTTACTTTAATTCGCGGCGTGGAAGTACCAGGAATGGCGTTCCAGCGCGATTCAGGCTAGTCAAGACGCAACCGTCAGCTTGATCCGTGGCGTTGGACTCCCGAGACTAATGTTGTGGCATTCTTCAGGGTCTTCAAACGGTTGTCTTCCAACGAGGCAGTTCCTTCAGTGGAAATGGACCGTTGCAGAGGATTATGAAGAGGGAGCTTAGAGGGAGGGTCTATTCCAATATCTTTGATGACTCTTGGGTTTACTCTGGCCCTCCTCCTCCTCCTCCTCCTCCTCCTCCTTCTCAACCTCCCCCTCCTCTCTTTCCTCCTCCTCCTCCTCCTCCTCCTCCTCATCCTCCTCATCCTCCTCCTCCTCCAACCTCCCCCACCTCCTCCGCCTCCTCCTCTTCTTCTTCCTCCCCCCCCTCCTCCTTCTCGTCCTCCTCTCCTCGCTTCTCCTTCTCAGGATCAGGCTGCGGGCACTTGTTTCCTGTGACAGGTGCTGCTCTGGGACCCCCCCGGCGCCGCTGGGCTTCAGCGGGCTGGGGGGGGCAGGAAAAGCGTGGGCCGGTCGCGGCCGCCAGATGACAATGGGGGGGAGCCCCCGAGGGAGACCGACCACAAAAGGGGACGGCACGAGGGGGAGCAGCGAAAGAACAAGCAGGGATGGAGGAGCGGAGGAGGGACCGACAGGGGCAGCAGGTACGAGCGCAGTGGAGCGAGGCGAGAGGAGGAGGGGGGAAGGGCACCCCGTGCCCCCCGAAAAAGGCCGACGCAGCACCCACCCCTAGGAGAGCGGGAGGAGGGGCAGGAGAGGAGGAGAGGACAGAGGGGGGAAGGGGAAAGATAGGGGGGCGTGTTCGTCTTACTTGGCTGGCACAGGGCCCGGTCGGCCGAGGTGGGCTTGCACACTCCCCACTCTGCTGTGGCCCACGGTGCCCCTGGGGGGCCGAGGTCGCTCTGCAACCCCCCCTCGCACATTGCCCGTGGCCTGTGTCGGTCTCGCACACGTGACCTCGCCGACGTCCTTCATCACGATGCTGCCGCCCGCCCTGGCGGCGAAGCCCAAGCGGCGCTGCGCGGCGCGAGTGGGTCTCGGCAGGGGCCCGGGCTGGGGCCTGCCGGAAGGCGCCTCGTTGAGCAAGCTCACTTGGTTGGCGTTCGTGGCGGCAGACTTGGTCGCGGGGCGCCGAGCCCTCCATGGCCCGGGCCGCGCCTGGGTGCCGCCGGTTCGCCCTCTGGGGCGGGGGCGGGCTCGGGCGCACGCGCAATTTGCCAGAATGGCTACGGATCCCTCCTCCTCCTCCTCCTCCTCCTCCTCCTCCTTGTCCTTCTTCTCATTTTCCTTGTCCTCCTCCTCCTCATCCTCCTCCTCCTCCTCAGCAGCAGCAGCAGCATCCTCCTCTCGCTGTCGCTTCTCCTCCTCCTCCATCTTCTCCTCCTCCTCTTCCTCCTCCTCCTCGTGCCCGACGTCCCCTGCTCCGACGCATCATGCTCCTCTGCATGCTCCCCCTCCTCCTCCTCCTCCTCCTCCTCCTCCTCCTCCTCCTCCTCCTCCCCAGCGTCCCCCGCTACGACGCACCATGGTCCTCCGCATCTTCCCCTTGCATTTCCTCCTCCTCCTCGCTTCTCTCCGAGTCCTCTTCCTCATCATCATCCATTTGCTCCGCCTCCTCGTCCTCCTCCTCCTTCTGCTCCTCCTCCTCCTCCAGTCTTCTTTTCAGGTACTTCGCTCGCGCCCCGCGCTTCCAGCGGCAGGCTCTGCGGCAAGGCAGGCAGTGGAATTGGACGCTTCATCTGCGGTGGGCTCCTCCCTCCTCGGCGCAGGCTATCGCAATGGTTTCCCTGGAGGCCCCGTCAGACCCAGGGGTCCAGATGGCGGGCGAGTTGCCGCATGGTTTTCAAGGGGCCCCCGAGGGGCCCAGGACCCCTCGAGGGACCCTGCCCGAGGAGGCCCCTCGAGGGGCCCTGCCCGAGGAGGCCCCGGGTCGAAGGGCCACCGAGTCCGTCACAGTCCGAGCCGCCCGTGGGCACGGCACCGTGGAGAGTTGGTGGGAATGTTCTTTCGGAGTTCCCAGTCGTCGCCGAATCGCCGCTCGGTCTCCCCTTTTGCACCTCCTGTGCCGAGCACGCCACGATCTCCGAGGAAGAAGCCCGGTGTCTGAGGGCGGCCTGACAGGCGCCCCGAGGCTTCCGTGCAGCGTCAAGGGAAAATGAGTCTGGACGCGTTTGCCAGGCCAGCCCATCCCAAGAGGGCCTCCAAGCTGGGCCCCCTCCCTCGCCCGGGGCTTGGCCCGCGCCAGGGTCGGGCCCAGAGGGCTCGGGCGGCGGTCCGGCCGAGGGAGCGCCAGAGGGCTCGGGGGGCGGGGCTGTTTTGCCAGCGCTCGGGCGCGGGGTCTGCATGCGGTGGGTCCGCGTCGTGTCGACCAGCGCCGACCCCGCCGCTGGTGTCTCAACGTCCAACGCCCCCGGCGGCCCAGGATCGGTCGAGGTCGCACGGTCGGACGTTTCGGAAGCGTCCGATCGTTCCAGGCGCAACGAATCCCTGCGGTGTCAGGAACCAGCGCCGGGGTCGGCACGACACGAGCCCGCAGCATACCAGATCCGCGCCAGTGCTCCAGCCTGCACGACCCGGGCATCCCGCTGCTCCAGTGGTTGTTCGAGGCGTGGGCCCTGGAGGTCCGGACCCGAGTGGTTTTGCGTCCTGAACGGGTTCTGCTCCTCTGGTCCCCGGGGGCCAGGCGCGAGGTCTCCCGCGGAGGCCGACCCGCGGCTCAAGGCCGCCCGCTCCAGTTTTTGCTGGGGCGTCGGCTCTCTGGGCTGGGCCGCGCTGCTCGAGCCTCGGAGGAGGTCGGCTCCGAAGCTGAGGGCCGAGTCTTGCCCAGGCGCGCCCCTGGTCCCTGGCCCCCTGGCGGGGTGACTGCCCTCGGGCAGGACGACAGTGGTTCTCATCTGGGGGGGGTCGCGCCTGGGGGTTTGGGGGAGGCCTAGCTGGACCTCTCGCAGTGGAGGACACGGGTCCGGAGGGAAACGGGTCCTGAAGTTGCTGCCGTTTTCTGGCTCCCGGGGCCCCCCCAGGGGCACCCCAGGACTGTCAGAAAACGTATCAGGATTAAGATCTCGTCAGGGGGGAAGGTCCCGGGGTCCAGGACCCGCTTCCCTGCTCCCCCAATGCGAAGCTTCTGACCCCATCCGTCTCTCTCTGTCTCTCTCTTTCTCTCTCTCTCTCTGTGTCTCTCTCTCTCTCTCTCTTTCTCTCTTTTTCTCTTTCTTCTTTGATCTTATCCCTTTTTGGGCGTCCCATCCTCCTCCTCTTCCTCGTCTCGAGGGTCCCCAAAACAAAACAAGGGGGCCAGTCAGCGGGAGACTTGCGGATGCACCCCCCAGCTGGTTAAACGGACGGACCATTTATCGAGCGCCCCCTCATAGCAAATTGCCGAGGTGGGCCCAAAAGTTTCGCCCCCGACGAGTCTCCACAAAGTTGGGGATTTGGGCCGCCCTACCCGCCAACGTCGTTTGAGGTTGGAGCCGTCTGGGGCTCTGAGGTGGCCCAGAACTGGTCCCGGCCAGCAGGAATCGGCGGCGAGCGAGGGGTGGAAGTCAGAAGGGGCGCGCCTTCTCAGAAGGCGCGGAAGTCCCCGGGCCTTCTCAGAAGTTTTCTAAGCGTTCCCGAAGACACAGAAAATTTCTCAGAAGGCGCGAGGGCGTCTGAGAAGTCCCGCCGCCTTCTGAGAAGGCCTCATCCTTCTCACTTCCCCCCTCGCTCGCCGCCAAAGGAAGGGCGTGCAGGTTCGAGGTTCTGGGTTTGGGATCTGTCTTTGGCCCTTTCCGCTTTCCCAGGGCCGTTTCTGGGCCCCGGGGCCGTCAGAAACGGATCTGGGGTGAAACACTGCACCAGATGGACCTTAGGCCGGACGGGACTAGGAGGAGGATACAGTCAACCCGAACAGTAAGGATGGGCAACCTTCCCAATGGTACCCTTGCATCCTTGCCTCCTCGGTCCATCCTTCGCCACTTTCGTTGGCCGCGCCCCGCTCGAAAAGCTTCGAAATGGGTGTCCAAGGCCCTTGCATCCTTATCGCTTATCCTTACTATGCGGGTTGACTGTAAATCCTGTCCAGAGCGTTCTGGGACGCGCTCAGAGCGTTCCGGAACGCTCCGAGAAGGCTGCGGTGCCCGAGACATCCGCCAGAGCCGCCTGATCTCAGAGATTCTCGATTGGTCCTCACCCGATTGATCGTAGTCCCGGCTGCGTTTTTGCAGGAGGTTCCAGAGACAGATTTCGAGCGGATTTCACCTCATGTCCCCTCCTCGCCGATTGCCTGGGGTGCCAACCAGTCCAGATCCCCTTGCCGCCTCCAGCGTTCGCAGAGGCCCGCTTCGGACAGCACCCAAGAGTGCTTGCTTGCTTGCTTGCTTGCTTGCTTGCTTGCTTGCTTGCTTGCTTGCTTGCTCGCCTGGCGGAGGGTCTCATGTTCTTGACGTGTGTTGTTCTGTCCCAGGCCTGTCCGTACATCAACCATGGTGGAGACAGGGGTGGGAGCGAGAGAGACTGTCGAAACCACACTGCCCCGTGAAAGCTCACCTCACGGGTTCGCCCCCTCCCCTCCTCCCCCCCTGGCCCTCGGAGGTGGTTCCACTGGGCGAAGAGCCTCACGCCGTCCATCACGCTCATGCGGACGCGGCCGCAGGGCACGGCGGCGGAGGAGGAGGAGGAGGAGGAGCAGCAGGAGCAGGAGCAGGAGCGGGAGCAGGAGCAGGAGAAGGAAAATGAGGAGTAGGCGTGGGAGGACGAGGAGCACGTAGTAAAAGGGGGGAGGGGATGGGGAGGAGGAAGAGAAGGAGGAGGAAGAAGAGGAGAAAGAGGAGGAGACATCGGAGGAGGATGAAGAAGCGGAGGAGGATCAGAAGGTACAGGAGGAGGAATAGGAGGCGGCAGAGGATGGAGCAGGGAGAGGAGGAGGAGGAGGAGGAGGAGGAGGAGGAGGAGGAGGAGGAGGAGGAGGAGGAGGAGGAGGAGGAAGAGGAGGAGGAGGAGGATGCGGAGGAGCACGGCGCGTCGGGGAGCAGGTTCGAGCGAGCAGTGCGGGGCAGGAGGAGAGGGCGCAAGGCGTGGAGGAGGTGCAGCAGCAGGAGGGCGCCCGAGGCCGGGCCTGCGGCGGCGCGGGGCGCCCGCGCTCGCCTGCGGGGCCGTCGCGGCGTGGGGCCTCGTCGTCGTGCTCCCTGCTGCGGTCAGTGGGCGTGGGGGTGGGTGTGTTGGCGTCTCGACTTCTCCTCCTCCTCCGCCTCCTCCTCGTCCTTCTCTTGCTCCTCCTCTCTCTCTTGCTCCTCCTCCTCCTTTTCCTCCTCCTCCTCCTCCTGTTCCGCCTGCAGGAGAAGCATGAGAGGGGCACGAGGACGAGGCAGACGACTGGCAGGATGTCGATCGGGAGCTGGAGAAAGTCACACAGACGCTTTCCCGTCCCTCGCCTGAGATATGTTTTCCGTCCTTTCCCCAATATTCCCTTCACACGTTTCGGTCCTTCCGTTTCCGCATTGCACTTTCAGCATCTACAGTGTTCCCTCGTTGTATTCCTTCCCACCTTCTCTTCCCTTCGCTCATTCCCGCTTCTCCCTCTTATTTCCGTCCTTTCCTCCAGGATGCGAAAAAAGCGGGCGCAGCGTGGTTTCCTGCGGCGATGAGCCGCTCACCTCGTGGCCATGGTCACGAGGCCCGACGGCAACCTCTCATGGCTAAAATCACCCAGCCCCGCTGCGACGGCAACGAAGTGCCCGCACCTCCACGGCATCCCGCACGTCCAGCGCCCCACGGCCGCATGCATGGCCACGGCCATCGCGCGGCCCTCGCGTGGCTGTCCAGCGCCTGCGCCTACGGGGGTCAGCCACATCGCCTCTGGCTTGCTCGTGCTTCGGAGCCGCGCGGGGCCGATTTCCATTCTTGTTCTCGCCCTCCGCCGAGCTGGGCTTGGGGAGCTAGTAAGCGGCCGGCCAGGCTTTGCGACAGGGCCCTGGCCGACCCTGGCTTGTGCTGACCCGGGTCCGTGCCTCCCCGACAGTCGGGCACGGACCCCCGGCCATGCCCCGTGGCTGCGTGGCCACTGCTCACTTGGGGCTGCGACCGTGGTCCGTGTGGCGCCGCCAGCCGCGGCCCCCAAAGGCTCCTCGGCCATTTGCTTGGCGGATCAGCGGCCCGCCGAGCGGCAGTCTGAGGGCCGCGGCTTCGCGCCTCCAACAGGTCGGAGTGTCCCCGGGCACTCCCTCACAGCCCGAGGACGCCATCACCAAAAAAGTAACTCCTCGGCCAGGGCCCGCGGCCCCCCGACCGCAGCCCCGTTGCCTACGCAGCCTGCGCGCAGCACCTCGGTCGAGCACGGGTGCATGGTCGGAGGGCCGCGCGGACTGCCGGGGCACCTGCGGCGGGCCCCCCGTGGCGGCGCCTCCGCGCGCCGAGGAGTGTGGGGGGGTCCCACCGCCCCTCCAGGAGAAAAAATCGGGCGGAGGTCGCGGAGTTTGCGTGCCTGCGGTGGCTTGCTGCCTCGAGTCGGAACGTCGTGGTTTGGGTTTGATCTCGACGCATCTCTCAGGGAAATCTCGCGCCAGGCTCCGGGGTGTCCCAGCGCAGCCGGGCAGAGCCATCCTGAGGGTTTGCGACGGCTAAAGCAGCCCACCGCGAACCCTCGGGACCGCAGTCTGGTGCGTCGCGGTCCCTCCGTTGCGCCCATGTGGCCTTCCTCTGTTTCCCCGTCTGCCCTTGCCTCTGCTCCCCCTCCGCCTCCTCTTTGTTTTCTGTCTCAGTGTCCCTCCTCCTCCTGCTCCTGCTGATGCTGATCAGCTCGCGCTGACAGCGAGTCGTCGGTGGTACACCAAGCAATCCTGCAGCAGGATTGCTGCCGCTGCTTCTGCCGCTTCTTGTACGGCTCCTCCCTCTTCCTCATCCCTCCTGCCCATGTTCCATCCTTCCTCCAGCTGTTCGTCCAGTTGCTTCTGCTTCTCCTCCTCCGCCTTCCCTTCCTCCTCCTCCTCCTCCTCCTCCCCCTCCTCCTCCTTCCTCCTCCTCCTCCTTTTCCTCCTCCTCCTCCTCCTCCTCCTCCTCCTCCTCCGCCTCCTCCTCCTCCTCCTCCTCCTCCTCCTCGTCCTCCTCCTCCCCTCTCCCCCTCTCATTATCGTCCTCCTCCCTCATCCCTCCTGCTCCCTCCTCCTCGTGCGCCCTTCTGCTCGCCCGCACTCCTGCGCTCCGACCCTTCCCGCCTCTGGCCAGGAACTTTGTGAACGACACCAACGTCGCCGAGTACGTCCGGATCCGCCAGCACTCGGACGAGCCTGGGGCTCGGCTTCGGGCGGCCTCGGTGCGGGGACGTGGGCCGGGGAAGGGCAGCAAGAGAAGGGAGCGGGGCCGACGATCAGGGCTCGAGGGTCGAGCGTCGAGGTTCGTGGTCGAAGGATCGAGGCCCGAGGATCGAAGATCGAGGATCGAGGACCAGGGCCGTGGATCGGGCGCCAGCGATCGAGGGTCGGGGGGGGGGGGCTTCTCGACGCCACGGTTTGAGAGGTCCGGGGGTGGATTGTCTAGGGAGGCGGGGATGGGGTGAAGGAGGGGTGACGGAGGGGGCAAGGTGGAGGAGGACGAGGAGGGGAAGGAGGATGAGGAGGAGGAGGAGGAGGAGGAGGAGGGGACGGTGGGGAGGAGCCGGAGGGGCTCAGAGGAGAGACCAGCTTCGAACATCGATCAAACGTTGATCGTCGACCACGCCAGGCGTCGATGGAGCTTCGAAAGGCGATGGAGAGGGACCTGCGACGGTGCGCCTGGAGCGATGGCGCGTGCAGGTGGCGTTCCCCCATGTGCCCCCACTGCACCCCCTCCCTGCTCCCTCCCAGCCTCGTGGTTTACCCACGCCCTATCTTCTCCCTTCCTACGTACAGTCAGCCCGCACAATGAGGACGGGAACCCTTCCCAGGGGTACCCGTGCACCCTCGTCTCCTCGGTCCATCCTTGGCCACTTTCGCTCGCCGCGCTCCGCTCGAAAAGCCTCGAGATGAGCGCCCGAGCCCCTCGCGTCCTCATCGCGCGACCTTCTGATCCGGGCCGGCTGCACCCGCCCCTCGGCTGCGCCAGCGATCTGCAGCATCTCGTCCACGATCGCAGCGGCTCAGGCCGCGGGGGCCCGCCGGGCCCCGCGGACGCGAACGGGCGGGCCCCGCGGCACGGGGTCCCCGTGGTGCTCTGCAGTGCCTGGCCTCCTCGCATGCCTGGGAGTCGCTCTGCCCGTCTCGGCCCCGAGCTTTCTTCCAGCGCCGCCTGCAGGATGGCGCGCTGCTGGGCTCGGCTCTCCGCGTCAGCGCACGCCCCCAGACATGCGCCGTTCGGACTCTTGCTTTCAGCACGGCGTCCCTGGAAGTCCCGACCCTTTCACCGAGACCGGTTTTTCGTCCTGACTCGTTTTTTGACGCCCCCGAGGGCCGGCAAAGGCCCCCCGAGGCCGAAAATTGCCAGAGACCCCTCCCGGCCCGATGTCTCCCCGACGCGATCCTGTCTGGGCCTCGCCCTCTGCTGCCGAGCTGGCGCTGTGGGCCCCGATGGCCCGCGGCGCTGCCGCGCGGCCCGCCGCCCGCGCGCGCTGCGGGCGCCTTGCGCCGCCCTGCGGCCGCCGGCCGGCGGACCACCTCGGTGCTCGCCGCCCGGCGGCCGCGCGGCAGGCAGCCTGCCCGCGGCCCCTCTGTGCGGGCATGGCCAGGACCCCAGGTGAGGGGACCCAGTCAGTGACTGGTGGTAGGGCCCGGGAGCCCCTGACTTGGCCAGAATCACTGGACCAGGTTCGCCGAAGCTGGCGATTGCTCTCGGGTGACGGCAGTGCCGGTTCGTGGAACGGGGCGGTGGGGCGTCCTCCAATACACGTCACTAAACCAGGTTCCACTAAACCCGGTTCTGCCAACGCCCGATCTGTGCGTGCGCCGGTGCGGGGCCGCGCGGGTATTCGTCGGCATCTCCTTTCGACTAGACGTAGGAGTGACCTTTCGCCGGATTGACCTTCGGTGCGGGCCCAAGGGGGTCCTCCGACCGCCGAGCGCGATGCGATAGTAGCGTTTTGCGCGCTTGGGCTTGTCCCCCCCCGCGGTGCCCCCAAAGCCGCGCACCAAAGGTCACTCTTACCTAGGGTCACTCTTGCGTGTAGTCGATCCTCGTGGTTGATCACACTGGCTCTGTCAGCGCCTGCAGCCTTGGCGTCAGCTATTGGGCGTGGGCGCGATGCCGGTCCAGGTCCTGTGCCAGGGCGCCCCAGCAAAGGCCGGCCGCCCCGGCCACTCCTGCGAAGTTCCTCGCGTGGTGAATCCCTCCTCTCCATTCCGCTCTCCGCGGCCGCCTTCCGCCTTCCTCCCCCCCTCGTGCCGCCGGACAATTCGTATGCCGTGCCCTGGAATACTAAGGCGCACGTGCGGATTGCCTCTGCCGCGCTGCGACGAACAAGTGGCGCGTCACGCTTGCCAGCCGCACCCTTCCTCCGAAGATGCCCGGAGGGCGGGAAATCAGTGTCTTGAAGGGCTGGTCAGGGGCCCGTACACAGCCGTTTTTGTGCGATGTTGGGACAAGTTGCTCGGTTTCGTTTTGAGCTGGAGCCTAGGTACCCGCTCTTGCACTGCAGCGCGGCAGGGCGGGGAACACCACCGCCACTATGTAACAACACCCGGTACAGCCCTTCGATTTCCAGTCTGGAGTTCCACTGCCAGATATCGTTCAGGCACGGTTACATGCAAGCTGGGCTGCGACCTTGACAATGAATGTTGACTCTCCGAAGCACACGCTATGTTGTCCTCCTTTTCAGCGAGTCGTGAAATGCAACCTTCCACTCCTCCATGCTTCCCGGGCCTCTGGCGCCCCTGCTACTTTTATCCTGGGAGCCTCTCCCGTTCGGAACGATAAGCATTGAAATTGTTGGTGGCATCATTCACAGTGTTTTCAACCATGTAAGTGTCACAGCAGGAATGGTCGTAGCAAGTTTGTATCATTCGCCCACGTCTACGCGCGGGGGTTCGCGGCCGACACCTGTGCTGTTCGTCAAAGTTTGCAGGGCCGGACTGCCGACAAGCCGTTCGTTAGTTGTGCAGGAGGGTAAAAGGCACAGAGGTCCGGTAGCTTCAAACAAGACTCGACCACGGAGTGGCGTTTGTTTTTCCTCCTCCTCCTCCCCCTCGTCATCATCATTCTCATCACCATCACCCGCATCATCGTCAGCATCATGATTTTCGCCATCCGTAGCCGTTTTGGCTCAAGGAAACAATTTTACGAGGTTGCGCAAGGCCTTGCAAGTTCGGGAATCACTGACGCCTGCACAGGCAGACTCTACGAGCCTTTCCTTTTCGTGTGCACAGCCGCTTCCAAACAGACACAAGTCATTTTAGCACTAACATGCTACATCTCGCGATGTCGGAAGTTATTATCGTGGCCGAGATGCAGAAGCTTACTGCTGCGGTTAATGGCATTGGCGGCCAGCTCACCCAAGTGCAGGCCCAGCTGCCCGCCTTTACGGAGGATATCAAGGCCGACGCCAAGAAACTCGTCGATAGAGCTGCAAAGCTCGAGCAACGGATGGACCCTATCGAGTCTGCACCAGCATCGCCAGTTGCCTCTTCACCTGCGGGCCACCAGCGCAGGATGCTTCAACCTGGCAATGGTAGTGCTGGAGGGCGTGCTGCCACTGTCGACCCCGCCGCTTCCGACCCAGTCGACCAGTGCAATGTATTGATGAACGGTTGGCCGCGCCCAGTCGATCGTGCACACAGGGAAGCTTGGCAAAACACGTTGACAACCCGCTTGCCTGCATAACGCAAGAGCTGGGCGGAGACGCGCTTTGCTGGCATGAGTCAGAGCTACATGATCAAGTTTGGGATGGCCGAGGACGCCAAAGCGTTCAGGGAGGTCATCGGCACATTCAGCCCCACGTGGGTCCACCCGCGTGGCAGGCGGGAGTTCCAGATAAAGTGCAGGCAAGACCTTCTTGATGATGTCAGGGAGCGCCAACGTCTGTTGGCACGCTAACTACAGCCTGATCAAGCAACACCTCATCGTGGACGGCCTCTGGTCCTCCACCATGTGCATGTCTGGCAACGGCTTCCGCAACGAGTTCTGGGTCGCCAGATGAGGAGGTGTACCCCATCCTGAGGGCACGCACGGACAATCTGGGCCGCTTCATAGTCAGCCCCAACGAGCACGAAATCATGGCTGTCGGCACCAACGTTGACACTACCACCATGATTGTGGACAGCATTGCCTCGCAATCGGAATTTCTTCAGTCACGTGGGCAATTTCAGGCCCTTTTTGGAGCAGCATTTCGTGGGCACGGCAGTGCTCGTACTCGCTTGGCCTTTTACACAATCAGCCAAGCGCAAGAACGCTACACGTTCCTTTCGTTCCCCTTCCGCCCCCTTCTTCACCGTCATCGCTGGACATGTCTTCAAGTTCTCCCACCTCCAGCCCATCTACTCTTTCTTCAGACTCCGACACGGCCTTCGTCTTCAACGTGAGTGACACTGAATACGTTCAACATCTCCCATACGACCGTAAGACCGACTTCAGAGCCGCCTCCTGGAATGTCCAAACCCTCTTTGTGGCGGTCGGGGGTGGAAACGCACGACAGGACAAAACGCGGCAACAGCTGCGTTTCATGCTCGTCAGGCGACCGTAATTTTATTGCAGGAGACTCATGGACACCTGGATGATCTTGACTCATTTCGAAGTGATTCTCCGTTCTTTCACTGTCACGGCTCGTTCCTCCCTTCTCACAGTGGTGGTATCATCGCGATGAGTCGCAAGTGTTTCGCCGCGGACTTCGACAAACTTCCCTTTCGTCCCTTGGCATCTGGCACAATATCGGCACTTCAGCGCTCAGGCTCGAATGGCATGCTGAACATCTACAGCGCGCACGCCCCGCCGACATACGTCGCGCAAACCGCATTCCAGTTCCGGCCCGGCTGGCCCATGTCAGATAGCAAGGTGGTTTGGATCGTTTCTTGGAGTGCTCGCGAGCCTGCTTTTCAGGAGAATTTTACATAAGTCCCACGCGATCTTCCTGGCGATTGGCATCCTTTTCGGCAACTGCTATACTTGAAAGAGGCGATGCACTACGCTGCCAGTGTCACCAAGGACCAGCTATCTGTGAATCGTCCAGAGACGCCAGCTGAGCGCGTGAACTGGTGGTTCGCCGCCACGCGGGCAATGGAGCTGCACGCTGGTTGCGAATTCAAAGCCGTCATCGATGAGGACGCCCCCTGGATGGGCATCGCTGGATTTCACGAATTGAGGCGCCAGGCCACTGTTGCGCACCTGCAGGCGCAGGAGGAGGAGATCGATGCAAATGAGGGGGCAAGAGTAACAGTCAAAGTTCAACGGAAAGACAAGTTTCATCGCCTGCACGCTGCCTGGGCCACGCGCAATAGACGCTTGGCCCTTCATGTCGCCACTGGCCCCGATGGTCTGGTTCATGCTGACCGCGCAGAGGGGGCATCTCTTCTAGCCGAGCATTGGGGGGGGGCCGCGAGGAGAACGAGGCGGTGGAGGAGGGGCTGGAGCGGCACCGCAGTTTGCTTAGACAGCTGCTCGCGATGCACCGTGGAAAGTGAGTCCTGGCGCGTCCAGAGCCAAGAGACATGATCAAGCGCACGTGCGACGCCGCGCCTGGCCCAGATGGCGCGCCATTCTCACGTTATCATCATGGTGGGGGGCACGCGAGTGGCATTCTTTGCGCTGTCTATGCATGGTTGCTTGTTCGAGAGGATCTGCCTGGGGAGTTCAGTCACTGCTGCGTGGTCTTCCTGTCTAAGAACCTGCTGCCTAGTGAATGCATAGTCATTGCGCGCGCGCCTGCTACTACTAGATCGCTCTCCCTCTCCATCACGCGTGACATGCTCGCGCCGCGCGCCGTTGAATCGGGCTTAGCGCAGCAAGCACAATGCACAGTTGACTGGGCCCAAACGGGCTGTGTAAAGGGTAGGCAGATGATCGACAACATCGTTGAAGCTTCGTCGGCGCGCGCATTGTGGGGGGCGTGGAAGGCTGTCAAGTTTGCGGGTCGACCCTGGTCGACTTCCGCGCTGCGTCTCCGAGCCCTGCTCACTCTTGGATTTTATGGGGGCTCGCGGCCATGCCGCTTCCGTCGTGCATCGCCCGCAGCGCGCGTGCGCTGCGTAAGAACACGCATGCGATGATTGCGCGCGCTGGGGGGATCTGGCTCGGCTCCTGGGTCAGCTCTGGAGTTTTGACAAGTGTGCCCCACGAGTGGCTCCCTATTCGCACTATGCCTCGATCCTATTGTTCGGCGTACATGTTGCATTATACCTCGGCCCCCGTCCTTCAGTAAGTGCTTCGCAGACGATTTGGCTCGTGTCCCGAGGGAACTCTTTCAGACTCTACCGTTATTATTCAGATTGCTTGCCAGTTGTGGCAAAGCAGCGGGACTGCGCGCGAATGCTGCCAAGACGCGACTCATCCTCCACTTCCCGAAGAACCGCGACGCCATTCTCGCTCGTCCTAGTAAGCTTCGCATGAATGCTAGTTTGCTGCAGTTTGCGACGGCCAGCACCTGCCTCGGCATCCGCATCGGCACCAATGATTACGAAGACTCATGGACAAAACGTTTGGAGGAATACAAGTGTCGGATTGCCTTCTTCAAGAGCTTGTCGCTCGGCTTCGCAGATACCATCATGAGCTACAACTCCGTAGCCACTAGTGCGCTGACATCTGCTGCTCAGTTTGTTCGACCTACTGCTCGCATTCTTCGCGCCCGGCGGACAGGCCTCAAGGCGGTCGCGCGTTGGCCGCGGCGCGCGCCTCCACCCGGAGCTATTTTGGCGCTTGGAAGTCACCGGCAGTTTTACCAACGCGCAGGATATCAAGAAAATCGCCTGCGCTGCCCAGTATAGGGCAGCATGTCCATCCGGCATCTTCCAGCGGTTGGTCGACTCCTACAACGAGATCATGGGGGGCGCGGACTGGCTGCTGCCCCGTAGTTCGCTCGACCATGTACAGAAGAGTGTGTTATTTCAGCTTCGTGACAATTGGATGCCTGGGAGCCATGCCATCGCGCCCAGGCCGTCCAACTGACCCATGGTGCAAAGGCTTTCAGGGCAAGGTGACTCGTCTCTTGTCCGCCCCTCGACGCAGTGTTGCCCCATGCCAATTGGCTATCGTGGGATGCTGGCAAGGAGAAAATCGATTAATGGCACCTCGTGCGCCTGCCTGCATCATGAACAACGTTTTCCAAGACGCTCTGCAACGTCTGGGCTACTTCTTCGAGGTACCGCCAGCCTACTCCTGCCTGCCGCTTCGGATGTTCTGAGGCCGCTTGTGATAGCATTGCCCATTATGTATGTTGCTACCCCGCTCTCTGCTGCCTGTCTCACATGTTGCCTCTGCTCCCGCGCTCCTTTTTTATGGTGATTGCCGCAAGCGCGATCTCCCGCACTAGTTCGACTGGTCTCGTCCTGAAGAACTTGCTTCTATTGCCATTTCCATTCACTTGCTTGCTGTAACTTTCCATCGCGTGCGTTCTTTTGAATCTCATTTGCCTGATGTGTTCCACCGTTGCATGCATGCCCGTGCCCGACAGATATTGAGGAGACGTCGCCAGCTTGCACCTCTGTTTCCCGCTTTTACTGTGCAGGTCTGTCACTATCGCTGCTGAGCTGATCATGCGTTGATTTCATGGTCGTGGATATGCTCTCTTTTCGCTTCTTGTCCGCCTGCCCTCTCTCGTTTGCCCTCTTCTCGCTTCTTGTCCGCCTGCCTTTTTCCCGTCTCTCACTGCCAATGAGTGTCCTGATCATCAGGTTTATCGTCGCTACCACCATCATCATCATGGCGGCTGGTATGGCGGCTATGGCCCTCTTAATCCGTCCAGTGTGCGTTCCTGGCCTTCTTTCTCTCTTTCTCTCTCTTTCTCTCTTCTCTCTCTCTCTCTCTCTCTCCGATTGCACTGGCGCTCGATTTTTCTGCGGTCCAGCGATGCCCATTGGCATCCACCAGCGGGATGCTGGATCAGAAAGAAGCTAGTGGGATCTGCGACGGTCGCCACCCTGGCTTCTGGGATTGCGCCTGCGCGCCGCAGGTTTCCAATATTTTTCTTTTTTCGTATCTCCAATCCTTGCGTGGTTCTCTCCGCGCTGCTCTCTTGCGCCCCCGCGGCGGCCTGCGGCCTTCTTCAGTTGGGCGCCTCTCTCGTCGCCGAGCCGTGGCGGGACCTGACGCCCCGAGGCATCCGGGTCGGGAGTCGCCCACTGCGCGTTGCTTTGTCATTTGCCTGCGCGGCGCAGGTTCCCGACGAAGTTCCAGCACCGCCGCGCTGCTCTTTTTATTTTGTTTGGGTATATGGGGTTATTGGGGGTGGGCGCGGCTGGTCGTGCGCTTAGCTTTTGATTATGTTTCTTATTCCATTTACAGTTGGAATGCACAGGCTGGTTTCAAGAGCTTGTGTTGCAGACCGGTCTGTACGGAGTTAGTGGTCATCGACTCGCACTGGCGCCATCATCGGTCCGTCTGAGCAATCATCAGTCAACATTGTAGTCTTTTCCCCCGATGTGCACCAGTCCTTTTTAAACATTGCAATCTGCACGGCGGTAGGCCCATTTAGGGGGTTCCAGGTCCGCTATGACAAGTGGCGGCGCGTAGACAGCCACCAACGCAATGGGAAGGGATGGGTGGGAGGAGCGGGGTGTCAAATCTGGCATGAACGCGCCCGGCTTGCCAAACCCTCTTTTCCCTCCCCGCTACTCCCCTTGCTCCTCTTCGCACATAAGAGCCCAGAACTTCGAACTGGTCGCCGCTTAAAAGTGACTCGCAGGAACTCAAAAGCTGCGCGTGCGGAAGGTTTCCAGAAGTGAGATGGGGACAAGGCAAGGGAGGGGCAGAGAGTGAGGCCAAAATGTAGATGACAGCCCAACGCAGCTCCTGCCGCATCTGTCTCGCGGCCAATGCCCCGAGGCGGAGCAGGCTCTCCCTCTTCCCACCTCCGAGTCCCGCCACCGAGGTGCAAGGGCAGAGCCAGGCTGACCCGCTGCAGGGCTGAGCGGCCCTTGTCCGCGGACCCCAGCGCGATCCGGAGAGAGGCACCGGCCTCCTTTCCCAGAGATTGGCGGGGGGGGGGGACGAGGACTTCCCACATCGTCCGTTACCGAAAATGATTGGTCACGCTCCGGACGAGCTGGCCGCGACCGAAGTTCGGCCTCCAGTCGCGGTTTTTGGTAACTAATCATGGCGCCAACCTCGCAGAGCGGATTTCGTTCGGAAATCTGTAGGATGGGCCCGGAGTGTCCCAGAGAATTTCTTTCTGGATTTCGAACGGAATTTCGTGCGGATTTTCTTGGGCCAGGAATAAAGAACTAAAGGTAATCCACGCGAAATTCACGTCGTCTTTCGCTCGCCATCTCGGTCTTTCACTGCCCGAATTCCACGCAGAACTCGGCTGGAGCACGTCTGCAAGGTCGGTGCAGTGAAACTAGCGAATTGGCCGTAGGACACCTTCACAACCCGCGCCTGGAGCCCAGCGCGCCGCATCTTCGTTACCAACATTCGACCCCCTCCGGTCGCGACCGAAGTTCGTCGCGGCCGAAATTTGGATGATGGTTTTTTGGTCGCGGATGATTTGGGTTGCGCCCACCATTGCCGGCCTGGCCCGGCCTGCATTTGGCGGGACTTTTCCCCCCAAGACTTTCAATGTACGGTTGGCGTTGGATGTCGACTACTGTGGGACGTGGCGCCGCCGACCCGGGGCTTACGCGCTATCCCCCACCTTCGGGATAGCGTGCACCGAGGAAGCCCTGGCAGGGGGATAGCGCGCACAGGAGAGGCCCTCGCAGAGGGATCGTCTCACCAGGATAGCGCGCTCACCGGATATCGATGTTGCACGTTATCCTTCAAACGCCAACGGTACCCTGAGATCCTGGCGTCGCATTTGGTTCAACGTTGGTGATGTTGCCTTGTCGTTCGGCCCCCATGGCCCTCACGGATCGATCGGTCTTGAAACATGCGCTAGAAAGATGGGGCCGAGGAGGCCTTGTACAGCAGGGAGATATCCAACCATGGTGGGATAGAGGGATGAATGCAAGGTCGGCCTGAGTGGAACGGGGAGGAGAAGGAGGAGGGAGGATGGGGAGGACGCGGGAGCGGAGAAGGAGGAGGAGAAGTGTGATATTTATGAGGAGTGGGAAGGGTGGATACTCCAGGAGGTCCTCGTGGATTCTAATGGCGTTGAGGAGTGTCTGGGCGAGGTGAAGACCGAGGGAGACGATGAAACGAGGCGGAGGTAGGAGGATACGCAGGATGATGATCATGAGGAGGCACAGGAGGAACACCAAGTAACAAAATGCGGAAGTGGACGAAGGGGTGAACGCGAGACGGTAGACGATGGGGTAGGGAAGGTGGAGAATCTATGAGAGGAGGCATGGCATAAAAGGAGGGAGAAGGAGCAGGAGGACGGCTGTGCATGAGGAGGAGGACCAGTGAATTAATAAGCAGATCTCCTTCTCCTCGTTGCTCTTGTTCCCGACTCATCCTTCTCCTCATTGTCCACCCTTTGCTCCCCAGTATCTTCCTCTCTTCCTCTCTCTCTCTCTCTCTATATATATCTCTCTCTCTCTCTTCCTCTCTCTCTCATCACAGGTGCTGCGACCAGGCGACGGGAAGACATTCCCGAAAGATGGCGACACTGTCACCGTCCACTACACAGGCACGTACGAGCGGAGAGGAGGAAAGAAGGGTGTAAGAGAGAAGGGGGAAAATGCAAGGGAGATGTAAGTCTGGCGTTTCCCTCTACATGAGGAATATTCAAGAACAGAAAAAGTGGTCTGGGGACTTTGTTTGAGTTTTCCAGTATGGATTAAACACTGTTTGGGTACGTTTTGAATTTGTTTCCATCTATCGTCCACAGCCGTCTGTAGGAGGACACGCCCGACCTAAAGATAGGTGAGCACCCACTTCTGACATTTAGCTGATTTTCTCTATGCGCCGAGGGGTGCCCTAGCGGGCCCCCGACCCCCAGCACGACCCTTCCGTGTGCTGCGTCATCGGGCTCAGGCGTGTGCATTTGCCAGGGAGGAGCTGACGAGTGAGCATGAGGACGAGCAGGAGGCAGAGGAGAGAAGTGAGGAAGGATGACGGTGGGAGGTGGAGGGGGAGGAGGAGCAGCAGCAGCAGGAGCAGCAGAAGCAGGAGCAGGGGGAGCGGGAGTAGCTGGAGGACCAGGGCAAGGCGCAGGAGGAGAAAGGAGTGGGGCGACAACGACGAGGAAGAGATCGGATTCAGAACTGCAGCCAGCGCTGTGGCGAGAGTGCCATTCGGATCGACGGGAGCAAAGCACCGATCCTGACATAAGACCAAAGCACCGATCCGATAGCACCACTTCGGCCGAAACGCGCACGCAAACGTTCAGAACCGAACTTCACTTACTGTCGGACCGAGGCATAAAGTCGAGGCCGGTCCAGGGAAGGTGCCCTGATGCTCTTCGTGGTTGTCGAATGTTTCTTGTGCATCCTGGGGGAGGGTACCCTCGAATGTTCTTCCGTTTGGCCTGCGGAGGGTCTCATGCTCTTGATTGATGCCTTTCGGTCCTAGGTCCGGCTATAGGGCAAGGGAGGGGAGGACCAGGGGTGATTGAAGGAGGACATGCGTGAGGTGACGAGAGGGTAGATGGGGATGAGGAGGTGCAGGCTGAATCAAAGTGGGAGGATTTTTTTCCCAGCATGATGGGCAGGATGGTCAGGCCCAAACTGTCGGAGAGGTAAGAGCTGATGGAGAAATTCGAGCAGTGGGAGAGGCATGAAGATGTGATGAGGAGCGAGAGGGGCAGGAGGGGCGAAAGGAAGGACGACAAAGGATGAGCTGGAGGAGGAGGAGGAATAGGAGGAGGAGGAGGAGGAGGAGGAGGAGAAGGAGGATGAGGAGCAGCAGCAGCCATGGGCCAGGGGATCGCAAGGCAAGTGGATGGACGATAACAATAACAAGGAGGCGACACCGCCAGCGGCGGATTTGGTCTGCTGGAATGTCTGGCCGTGTTCACGCTGCAGCAACACCCTCGTAGCAGAGCTGCTGGCGCGTGTGGCTGTGGCAGGCTGGCCAGGTCGGGGCGAGGCAGTACAGCAGGTTGAGCGCTCGCCGAGTCGCGCAGGAGGACGGGGACCCTGGACGACCCGTCCGAGAAGGGGTCGGCAGCTGCCGCGACTCTTCCTCGGCCGCGTGGGGTCGAGCGTGCGACGCACTTGGCGAAGCCGCTGACCAGCGTGCGCGAGCAAGCGTCAGACGTTGCTGAGTTCGAGGCCCTGTCGGAGCTCCGCGCGGATTCCTTGGATTGGCGCAGTGCCCCTGCGGCGGCGCCTCGTGCGCCGCACCTGGCGCGCCCCGCGCGCCATGGCGGGCGCTCGAGCGCCGCTCCAAGACATCCGCGCGGACCTCCGAGAGTGTATGCTTATATGCCGCTGTTTGGCCCCTTATTGGTGGTAGGTTTCAGTGAAGCCCCAGGTCCTAAACCCTAAGGAGGTCTCCAGAGGCACGCAGAAACCAAAACAATTACGCCCAATCGTACAAACACGAACTCAAAAGACACACATCAGAACAGCACCCAAAATTGCCCCGCTCGATTCCGGAGCGTCGTGGGTTCAACTTGGCCTCGTTGAGTTGGCCCCCACGGAGTTCGAGAGGACGGAGCGTCCCACAGGGCCCGCCCGGCGTGAAGCCAGCCAGCCCCGTGGACATTGCCAGGGTGCCCGCGACACGGCCGAGCCCTGCAGCAGTTTGCGGAGGCCGAGCGATCCAAAGAGGCGCGCGGAGCCTTCCGCTCGCACGGCAGCTACCGTACTTGGCCAGTTAATTACCGCGTTTGTCCAATTGCACACGCAGATACAGCAGGTTCGCGCCGCGTTGCCGCGGCAGTGACCCCAGTCGGGGGTTCAAGGTTCAACGTCGCTAGTGGCCCAGAATCGGCCGATAGCGAAAGCCCTGCCCGATCGGAAAGCCGTGGATCCAAGGATGAAGGATCCACGGGGTGTCAGAGACCAACGCGGACGTCACCGCGACTCGAACGTTCCGTATGCATACCTCGCACCTGGCGCAATCTGCGCGTCCTGAGCTCGTCGGGACGGCGACGCCAGGAAAACGACCGCAGGCGATGTTTCTATCCCGACCCACGGTTTCTTTCGACGAAAAATGAAGCGGCTAAGAAAAGGGGGGGAACCATGGGATACACCCCAAGGGGGCTATTCGGACGCACCCCTATCGACGATGGACGCCCCCCCTCGCATATCCCAGGGTTGGGCCCAAATTTTTGGTCCACTCGAAAATCCCACGAATCCTGAGATAGGGGTCGGCATATCCCCTGTTAAACAAGACTGCACAGACCTCCGCGCGCACGGCGGAGCGCGGTCTCTCCGTGAAGGCGGCGGCGAGGGCCACACCTCGGCGGCTTGGAGGGCGGCGGCCGAGCGGGCTTTCTGCGGTGCGCGGGCGATGCATGGCAGCGTTGGGCTCACTTCGCGATCGCTCGCCACCGGGGGGCCCCGCGGGTTTTGTCATTCGCCCCTGTTCTCGGCGGCGAGCGGGGGGGCAAGCAAGAGGGGACCTTCCTCCCTCCTCCCTCCTCCTGCTCCTGCTGTTCCTCCTCCTCCTGCTCCTCTCCGCCTCCTCCTCCTCCTCCTCCTCCTCCTCCTCCTCCTCCTCCTCCTCCTCCTCCTCCTCCTCATCCCCCCTCTCGGCGGCGAGGGGGGCAAGCGAGGGGAGGAGGCTCTCTCAGAACGCGGCGGGGCTGAACCGACGAAGAGAAAAGGGCATAAACATAGACTTTCGACGCTCCGCACGGGTTTCGTGGATCGGCGCCTGGTCCCCCCTGGCGGCGCCTCCGGCGCCGCCCCTGGCGCGCTCCGCGCGCCATGGAGGGGGGGTCCAGCTGAGATCCAAGAAATCCGCGCAGAGCGCCAAACGTTTGTGTTTCTGCTGATTTGTCTTCTTCGGCTCTCAGAGGGCGGCGCGGGGCTTCTCAGAAGCCCTCCGGCCTCCCGACTGGTGTTCGGCGTCCTCGGGGAAAGCTCAGGAGACTTCTCTCGCCGAGCGCGTTCCACTATTCGCAAAGTGCCTACTCGCAAACCTCAGAGACAAATCTGATGTCACGGTTCGTAGGTCCCTCGCGGCGGATCCTGGCCGTTTGCGAGAAGCTACTTTGCGAGTAGCGGAACGTGCTTGTCTTTCCTCAGGAGACTGGACGACTGCCGCGCCTTCAAGGACGGCCCGCCTCCCTCTCGTTTCCTTTACCCCCCGGGCGCGTCGCCGAAGCGTTCTGCTCGACGGGGCCGCCCAGTCTGTCGCCCGCCTCTGCTTCGGCGCACGGCGTGCCGTGCAGCGGCCCCTGGCTCGTTTTGCGGCCCCAGCCTGGGATGAGGAGGACGAGGAGGCTGTGGTCGAGAGGGGGAAGTGAGAAGGAAGGTCTTCTTCGAGGGCTCGGAAGTCCCCCTCCCCCCCGACTTCCGAGAAGTGTGCCAAGCCTTCCCCGAAGGCACGGACAACTTCTCAGAAGGCGCGAGGGCTTCTGAGAAGTCCCGCCGCCTTCTGAGAAGGCGTTCTCCTTCTCACTTCCCCCCGGGCCCGCCGCCGATTTGGGGGGAGGAGGAGGAGGAGGAGGAGGAGGAGGAGGAGGAGGAGGAGGAGGAGGAGGAGGAGGAGGAGGAGGAGAAAGAGAGGAGGAGGAGGAGGAGGAGGAGGAGGAGAGGAGGAGGAGGAGGAGGAGGAGGAGGAGGAAAAGGAGGAGAGGGAAGAGGAAGAGGAAGAGGAAGAGGAGGAGGAGGAGGAGGAGGAGGAGGAGGAGGAGGAGGAGGAGGAGGAGGAGGAGGAGGAGGAGGAGGAGGAGGAGGAGGAGGAGGAGGAGGAGGAGGAGGAGGAGGAGGAGAGACGTCCGTGCCTTTGCCAGACCGCTTTTGGGGTCCTCGAGTCGGCCTCCGCTGCTTGCGTTGCCCCCCTCCCCCTCGTGCAGCGGGGGGCGGGGCACGGGGGCGAGGCGCTGGCGCAGCGGAGGGCCACGAGGAGACGACGAGGGGCGGACCGCGCCGAGGCGAGGAGGAGGGCCACGCCGCACAGGCATCCGACGTCGGTTTTTTTTTGTTTGCACAGCTTCGCTTCCCAGAGTTGCCCACCGCCCGCAGGCAGCGGGTATCTCTGGGATTCCCAGAGCCCAATCTACTCTAGCCGCCTTCCTACTCCGAGGACCGATCCGCTGTTGCTGCGTTTTGTTACGCTCTGGGCGGGCGGGCCCGAGCACAGTCTACTTTGTACGCCTTCCTACTCCGTGTTTCTGTATACTTCTTCCGACCGGTGGTTATGTTCTTCCTATCGTACTTAAGGACCACATCCCAAACATAGGTTCGAACACCCGGAAAAAGTATCGAAACAGTCTTTGGCCGACGCGCCAGCGAGGTGTCGAACGAGCATCGCCTCCCAGGGCCCACCAGATGAAAACCTTCGAAATGTGGTTCTTCCCTGGTGTTCGAATTTTTTTCTGGTGGTCAAGGATAAATAGGTTGGAACATAGCCCCAGAGGTCTGGACCCCTTCCCCGGGACCAGCTTTTTTTACGACGACATGGGAGAAATGAAGGCCTCTGAACGTTCCAGGCAGGCTGCTATGGATTAAACCACGCTGGGCGTCCCCGCCACCCCGACCGACACCGAAGCCTCGGCCGACATGTCGGGAACGCCTACAAATAGTTATACAGTAGTGCTCGAGTCGTTGTGTTGACGATCCCGAGGCCCGGTGAGGGCCCTTGGAGGCCGCAGATCGCGAAGAACACTCCCCGTCGTATTTTTTTTTGTTCGCAGCGCGAGGGGGCCTGGGAGCTGCGGGTCACTGTCGGCGCGCCTCGAGCCTCGGTCTCTTCATCCTGAAGGCTCGGCGAGGGCCCTTGGAGGCCGAAAACCGCGAGGAGAGCCTCCCGTCGAGATTCTTCTCCACACCGCGAGGGGGTTGGGGCATTTCTCACCGGATCGAAGAATGGCATAAACGTAAAAGCTCGGAGGTCCGCGCGGATTTCTCGGATCGGCGCTAGACCCTCCTCCCTGGCGCGCGGAACGCGCCAGGGGCGGCGCCGGAGGCGCCGCCAGGGGGGCCCAGCGCGGATCCGAGAAATCCGCGCGGACCTCCGAGTTGTTATGCTCGTGTCCTTCTTCGTGCCCCTAGTCGTGGCGTGCGCTCGGCTCCCCGAGCGCGCTCTCCACTACTCGCCAAAGTGCCTATGCTCGCAAACTTCCGAACAATAGGTTTAAGTCGGGCCTGTCCCTCTACAGGGGGAATCTTCAAAGATAGTCCAAATATTGTCTGGGGGCTATGTTCTGACCATATCTGGGCATCCCTTGAAATGTTTTGGGCATCTTGTTTTTTTCGTCCGAAATTTTCTTGCAGGGGGACAGGCCCGACCTAAAAATAGGTGTTTGCCTCAGTGAATGACGTATCGTAGACTCCCCGGCGGCGGACCAAGGAGGAGGAGGAGGAGGAGGAGGAGGAGGAGGAGGAGCAGGGAGGAGGAGGAGGAGGAGGAGGAGGAGGAGGGAGGAGGAGGAGCAGCTACTCCGCGAGCAGTGGAGGGCTCGCTCGCCCCTCGGCGGCGCGCCGCCAGGCGCCCTGGCGTCCAGCGGCGCGAGGTTCGACTCGTCGGCCGGGCGCTCGGCCCTCCGCGCGCGGCGGGGGCCGTGCCCGTGCGCCCCCCTGGGGCTCGGGCTGGATGAAAGGGGGGATCGGGAAAGGGGGGGTCCTCCTCCTCCTCCTCCTCCTCCCCCTCCTCCTCCCTCTCCTCCTCCTCCTCCCTCTCCTCCCCCTCCTCCTCCGTCTCCTCCTCCTGCTCCTCCTGCTCCTCCTCCTCCTCCTCTTCCCCTCTCGGGCCAGACGAAAGGGGGGGATTGGGAAAGGGGGGGGTACGAAATCTGCTGCATGCAGCTGGTTTCGGGCCCCACCAAGGGGCCCCTTCCTCGACGCATGGCCGCCTCCGGCGCCGAGCTGATTCTCAAACACCCCCATTTGCTATCCCCCCCTTTCGCCCGTCCCGAGGGGCCCGTCTGACCCCGGCCGGTTGCCCTCAAGCAGTGGCGAAGCGTCCTGGCTCCCCGATACAGTGGGGGCGCGCATCAAGAGACCATCTGAATTTCGTCAGGGTGCCCTGGTTTTTTCCGTTCCGCGCTTGGTTTTTTCGTTCAGGCGCACCTCGCGCGCGGGTTTCCAGGGTTGGGTTTCTTGCGAGGGTTTCTTGCAACCGCGCCCGCACTGTAGCTTCACCAAAGAAGAATGGTTTAAGAACCTTTTGTGGTCTGCGCGAGATGTTTTTCGAGCATTTCTGCCTGAGCCTGTCTGGTTTGAACACATCGAGTTCACGTCCTAAGGACACCGTCTTGTTCTTAGGGGTGCTTGGGTTCTGAGGATATCCCGTGGCAACTAGGCCTATATGAATGTCGGACGGTCGGTCCCTGCTCAAGCTGCGGCTCCCTTCAGTGGCAGCGATGGGCCCAGACCTTCTCGCGCTGTACATGAAAATCACGACGGGAGGTTGTTCGATATTTTCGGCCTCCGGGGGCCCTTCACGGGCCTCGGGGCCGTCAAACAACGACTCGGGACGAAAAGCCGGTCCCAGGGAAGGGGTCCAGACCTCTGGGGATCGAAGCTGTGAAAGTGTCACGACGTTGGAGGTCTGGGGGAAGGGGGGCAGTTTCGAAGAAGAAAAAAAAACAACGGCATAAACACAAGCTTTGGGCGCTCCGCGCGGGATTTCCTGGCTCCGCGCAGGCGCGCCAGGGAGGGGGGGTCCAGCGCAGATCCCAGAAATCAGCGCGGAGCGCCAACAGTTTATGCTTATATGCCGTGTGTTATTATTATTCTCCTTATTACTATTCTTCTTCTTTTTCTCCTTGTCCTTCTTACTAATATTATTTTCTTCTTCTCCTAAACCAGCATAGTAAGGATGAGCGATTTTCCAAGTTTGCCATGGTAGCCTTCCCCTTCGGCCCATCCTTGGCCACTCTCGCTGGCCCCGCCCCGCTCGCAAAGTGTCGACATGGCCTTCCAAGGCCCTTGCATTCTGATCGTGCGTCCTGATTCTGCGGGTCGATTGTATCCCCATCCCCATTGCCATCCAGACCCCCGCCATCTTACCCCCCCAGTTGGGGACATACACTTCGAAGCCCGAAGGAAACGGCCTACATTCCCGTCTAGGGGTGGTAAATCAGCTAGTGGGGCCGAGGCCACGCCGTTCAGGATAAGGGCCAGATGAACGATGCTCAGAAGGGCTCAGTCTACGCCTCCTAGATGGGGTCCGAGTAGATGAGGTCGGAGGATCGCGATGCAGCTGCATCGAAGATGAGGTCCGCATCGCCGATGGGGGGTCCGAGTAGATGAGGTCCATCGTCGATGCATCGAAGATGCATCGCAGATGGGGTCCGAGTAGACGAGGTCCGCATCGCCGATGCATCGAAGATGCGGCTCGATGTGGAGACCGTGCTTCCCCACGCCGACGTCGCCGAGGCATCGCCGACGTCGCCGAGGCATCGCCGACGTCGCCGATGCATCGCCGATACATCGGCGATGCATTGGCGATGCGGCGCGATCATTCGGCCCCAGCTGCTCGGCCCCCAACAAGCAGGCCTCCTACGGAGGGGGGGATACGTCGACCCGAAGGCGCCCGTGGCCTGCAGGGGCCCGATAGCCCCGACCTGCCCAGGAACGCGCGAATTTGCTACAGTCAATCCGCATACAGTCAAAAACCCTAATAAGGACGCGCGACTTTGCTCAGGGTACCCCTGCGTCCTTGCTCTTCCTTGCTCTTGCGTCCTTGAGGTTTTCGTCGTCCGCCGCCCCAAAAATCCCAACTTCGGCTTCCAATGGTCTTGCGTCCTTACCGCGCGTCCTGATTAGGGTTTTTGATTGTAGGAAGGATGAACAACCTTCCCACGGGTACCCCTGCATCCTTGACTCCTTGGTCCATCCTTGGCCATTTTCCTCGGCCGCGCCCCGCTCGCAAAGCTTTTCGAAATGGGCGTCTGCGGCCCTGGCATCCTTATCGGGCATCCTTGTGATACGGGCCGACGCTACAGTGCCGTTTTTTAGACATGCTCCGCGTGCGGATCATGTATTAAACATGCAGGGATTTAGTATTAAAAACGATGAGTTCATGCATACACTTGTTCATACATTAATCATGAATTAAAAATCCTCTATCAAAAAAACGTGTATTAAAAACTGCCCTGTAAGCTCAGGGGGGTACGCATCGACCCACAGTCGCCCATTCATCGCTGGTAGGGGCCCAGTAGCGCCGACCTGCCCAGAAGCGTGCGGATGTGCTATCGGGAGCCTGTCGCAGATCTCTCGGCGATGCATCGCCGATGCCAGGTCGCCGATGCCAGGTCGATGCCGATGCCCCACACCCGAGCTGGTCCCCCGCTGTTGCGGGCAATCTTTCTGTCCACAGCCAGTGCGCCTTGGACTTGCTCTGCAGGGGCGCCGCAAGACCGAGGCGCGCTGGAGATGTACCCAGATCTCCTCTCGTCATGACAAGACGCTGAGAGGTTTTTCTCGACTTTCAGCCTCCGGGGCCAAATTCAGGTCCAGTTGGCCTCGGGTTCCTGGGGAGGGGAGCCCGGCACTCCAAGCTGCAGTGGATGTGGAAACAGGTCCTGCCCGGCACCTATCGCTGCCCCTCGTTCGAGGGTTGCTGCAGGTGCCTCTTGCCCAAGGTTCCCCCAGCTTTTCGCTCAATTCTGGAGACCCTCGGGCCCTCGGGGCCTCCTGAGGGGTGCCCTGGAGGCCACGGGGGCCGGAGACGGGGGTCCATGCAAACGGGGGCCAGCCAGGGCACTGGATCCTGCAGGTTCCTGCCAGAGGGTTCGGGTGTTGCTGAAGCTGCCCCTGGCCCAAGGTGCCCCCAGCTTTTTGCTCCATTCTGGAGCCCCTGCGGCCCTGTGGGCCTCGCGAGGCGTGCTCTGGAGGCTGTGCTTCCTTGGGAATCCTGGGGGCACCTCGGGCCAGGGGCGCTTTCAGCAACACCCGAGGGGTGCACCGACCCGGGCTAGCGCGCAGGATCCTGCAGGATCCTGCAGGATCCGGGATTCTGTCTGCGAAGCCCAACGGACCTGGGTTCGCATTTACCCCGGTCAGTGCGTTTCCCGCAGGGGACTTTTTCTTTAATCCCTTGGCGCTGACTCGGCTACGCGTACATTTCGCGGGAGTGACCTCTGGTGCGGGCACACAGGGGTCCCACCAGCATTGGTTGGCGCGCTCGGAGTGCTTGGATTTTGCCTCCCCCGCGGCCCCCTACAGCCGCGCACCAAGGGTCCTTCTTGCCTAGGGTCACTGTTGGGTGCAGCCGGAGAACGGACGTGACGGGTGGGGGGAGGGAGGGGATGCGGCCAATCACTTCACGATTCGCGGCAGCGCAGTTTGGGAATGCCATGCCGAAGAGTGGCTCCTTCCCAGACGGCGCCGGCGCGAGTCGTGACGTGACCCGGGGGGGAAGGGGGGGGGGGGCTGATCATTGTCGGGATCGCGAGTAGTAGCAAGACCGCAGTCTTGGGAGGGAGCACGAAGTGGACTCCTCCTGGGGAGGTGTCGCGTCTTTGGGGCCCCGGGCTTCTGCAGTGGGCCCAGGCGCCTGTTTCGAGGCTGCCCTCCAGAGGAGGCTCCGTCCATGGCCCTGGCCGCATGGGGCCCTCCCTGGGGGCTTCTCGGGGCATCCCTCCTGGCGGGCAGGGCGGCGATCCAGGGGCGCCCCTTCTCGGGGCATCCCTTCTCGGGGGCATCTCTCCCTGGGGCTTCTCAGGGCAGCCCTTCTCGGGGCATCCCTCCTCGGGCCCTCTCTCCTGGCGGTCAGCGGGTGAGCGCCCTGCCCCCCCCCGGTGAGGGGGGAGGCCCCCCCCCCCCCTCCGTGCACACGTGGAGTTTTCGCCCTCGGCGCGCTCCGCTCTTCGTGCTCCGATCTCGGGCCGCCCGCGGCCCTTCGGCCCGCCGCCGCTCCGCGCCCGCTCGCCCGCCCCGGGCGCCTCGATCGTGGCGGGCGCTGCTAGAAGTGCCCCTGGCCCAAGGCCCTGACGAGGCCGAGAGGGCCCTTTGGCTCCGAAATGGAGGGAGAAGCTGGGAGCACCGCGAGGCTGTCAGCCTCGCGAGGCCGAGCGAGGGGCGGGGCGTCGCGGCCCCCTGCGCACCCGCCAGGGTCCAGAGCGCAGAGGTCGGCCCGCCCTTGGTCTGGGTGCAGGAGTCGGGTTGGGCGACAGGCAGGAGGCAGGAGGGAACCAAAACCACAGCCACGAAGAAACGCAGGTGTCCATGGCAGCACTGGCGGGGAGGACGACAATCCACAGAGAATATTGGAGCAGATACGGAATCCTGGAATGTGTGCGTGCTCATTTGTGTCTCCCTGGGCCTCTACAAGGGGGGGGTGCGGACACGGAAAGGATCTCTGGCCCCGCGTGTTGTTTGCTGCCGGTACTGGCCCACCACGCCTCGGCGCGAAGCACGCCATCCACGCCCCAGCTGAAGGGGCCTAGGGATACACACACACACACACACACAGACACACACACACACACACACACACACACACACACACACACACACACACACACACACACACACACACACACACAAAACACACACACACGCACACACACACACATCCAAGGACCCCCTCCATCCTTCTACATGTTTGGGAATCCTCGTCTCCCCTCCCCCCTCACTTCCCATATTTTCCCATATTTTCCGGTATCTTTTTGGGAGTCCACGATTCCTTGCGGCTGCGTGTTTTTATTTCCTGACCATCCCCGAGCGTCAATGCCCCGAGCCCTTCCCCGCCTCCCGCCCCGCGGAGCGTAATTAGCCACAGCGCCGTCCGCCCCGCGGGCCGCGGCGTCGTCCGCCGAGGCCGCCGCCGCGGCACGCCGAGGCAGACGTTTTTCAGGAGGGGGAACAACGGAAAAACACACAGACACAAGTCATCGTCGATTCCCAGGAAAATATGGCAAAACATGGGAAAAGGGGGGGGGGAAGACGAAAACCTAGAAGATATGCGAAAATATGGGAAATCCGGTTATTTGTGTGTCTATTTACTTGCGTGTCCCAGGGCCCCTTCCGTTTTGCCGACCGCAGGGGCGGGGGCGACGGCTGCGGGAGGTGCCGCATGCTGCCCGCCTCGGCCTCGCCGCCGGGCGCTGCACCTCCCTGCGCCTGCACGTGCCGGCTCCTCTCCGGGAGGCGCTGGGGACATCGGCTGCGTGAGCTGATTCGGAGAGGCCCCCCAGCTGCTGCCCCCCCTCCTCCCCCCTATTCGTCCTTGTCGCCCGACCTCGAGAGGGGGAGGGTATCCTCCCGCGTCGGTGCCCCAGAGGTCGGCGAGCTCTGCTCGTGAGTGAGGCCGCGCCTTGCTCGACGGAGTGGCGGCTGGTTGAAGCGGGCAACGGCACAATCGTCGGGATTGTCTTCATCAGTACCTTGTTGCGCACGTCCGCCGGTATCGAAGGAGATTGACTTGAGTTTCGATGTCTGCGTTCTCCAATAATCTGACCCTTGGGTGCACACCGCAGGGAGGGGAAGCGAAGGCTCCAGCAGGTGTGTGAAAGACAGCAGCGTGAGGCTCTTAAGAGCGTTGTTTGTCAGGTGTGTGTGTGTGTGTGCGTGTGTGCGTGTGTTGCCTTTACGTGTTATTGCAGGTACCTGGAGCGTGTCTTGGCTGGGCTGGGAGCCAGCGCAGGAGCCCACCATAGAGCCGCTTACGAGTCTGGAGGGCGCTTCTAGTCGCGATGGTGCGCGTTGACTGCTCAAGTCCTGATATCGTTTGACCTGTGGACGCAGGCCTCTGGCCGAATACGACGCGCTGCTGGACAGCTCGGGCGGGCAACACTTGACAGGTTGTAAACGCGAGTGAAGGGTTCGCCGTTGGCTGTGGTGGCACGAACTCTAAGGGGCTGCAGGACGGCAAGCCGATCTGGGCTCCGACGCGTGATTGTGTGTGTGATTTGATTAGTGCAGTTGTCCCTGAGGTTGATCGCGGGAAGCCGCTCGTGTTCAGGCTCGGCGTGGGCAAGGTGATCCGCGGCTGGGACGACGGCATCACACAGGCTAGACTCCGGGTCAGAGCAGAGCAGCAGTGTGGGTCCTGCACAGCAGGCGCAAGCTTCATGCGTGCGGAGGGAAGAGGCAGCGCCGCAGACTAGGGGCGCCTCGGAATGCCACTGCGTTGCCGGTGTTGTAGCAGGCGGTTGGCCCCAACCAGGGACGTGAACCATGTGAAAAAATGATTTTGGAGGAATCGGAGACCATGAAGGAAGTTCAACATCTATTGGAGGAGTGGAGGAAGTATATTACGAAGGTTTGCATAGGAGGAGAGCGAAAGCGTAGGATAACGAAGAGGACGATGAACAGCATTAATGGCGACCAGCATGAGGGTGATGAGCGGAGTGGGGATGATTTGGATGAAGACGAGGACGAGAAGCAATATAATGGTTGAGTGGGGCGGCGAAAAGTATGAGGAACCGCTCCAGCAGGTGAAATAGCACGATGTGGAGGACGACAGTGAGGAATCCGACGCGAAGGGTGGGGAGAGATAGGCACCCTGTCACCCTTCACATCCCCTTTTGTCCCCTCCTTCGATTCTCAGTCGCACTCACACTTTTCCTCCCCCAGTTGCCCTGAACCTCGCAGGATCCTCACCAGAAACCTTTTGACGGGTGGGGGAGAAGGGGCGAGCAGAGACGGGGGAGAATGCTGGATGGAAGAGAGAAGGAAAGGGTGGATACGAGAGGTTGATTAAACGGGTGGGAAAGGGGGCGGGAGGGAATGCGGGCAGGGGCGGGGGAGAGGATACCATACGTTTTTCTGCTGGGAGTGGGATGGGGAAGGGGGGCTGGATTGGATGGCAGAGGAGGAGACGGCCATGACGGGCCAGGAGGAGAGGGGGGGGGGCATACGGAGGTGGGGGAGGAGGCGGAGGAGGAGGGGGCATAACAGAAAGGAGCTAGAGAGGAGGAAGACCTTACCAATCGAGTTTTGGCAGGACCAGGCCAGTTGCGCAAGGGTCCTGATCGGTCGCGTTGGAAACCTCCCGCCTCGGGAGAGCTGCTGACGCGTACTGGTCTGCTTCGGGGCTACCTGCGCGTGGCAGTTCGAGGGAGGACAGTGGGCAGCCATCCCTGAGGAGAAGCTTTCTGCCCAGCGGGCTTCTCAGTGGCGAGGCTGGATGCCAGGTGCGGTCCGGGAGGGGCTGGCCAGGTTCCACCAGTGCACCGAGTCCCTGCGTGGGTGGAATCCACAGCCGTCGGCCTGGCCAGGCCGCGCTCCTCCTGGACCCGGTGGTTCAGTGCAGGCACGAGGACCTCTAGAGTTATGATGCTCCAACCTACCTACTTTAGCTTTGACCACCAGAAAGAATTCCGAACGCCCAAAGAAGTACCGAAACTCAAGGGTTTTCACGTGTCGGGCCCCAGGAGACACTCGCCCGACACTGTTTCGAAACTCTTTTGACACTTTTCTGGGTGCTCGGAATTATTTTGGGATGTGGTCCTTGAGCAGCTTGGGAACAACATAACTCTAGAGGAGGACAGCCGAGACGTGGACCAAGGACGGGCGGTACGGACGCAAAGAGCCTTGGAGGCCGGCGTTGGGACTCTTTTGGGGGCGGCGGGCGACCAACACCCCAGGGACGCCAGAGTACCCTGACCCAGAGGGAGGCGCGTGAAAGGGGCAATGGGCGGACCGCAGAGGCAAGGACGCACGGCACTAGGCGCGTCCTTAGTGGGCCCTGGAAACGACAGGGCCGTTTTTGTTACCGGTTCCGTTTTGCCGTTATTGTTGCTGGTTCCGACGCCGTTTGTTTACCGTTGTTGTCGCCGTTCTTTGACCGGTTCCGGCTCCGGGTCCAATCCTGGAGCCGTTTTTGTTGCCGTTTCCGGTCGCCGTTTTTTGCCATTTCCATTTTCCAGGGACATTTTGGGGGAAACGATGAACAAAACGGCCCTGCTGTTTCCGGGGCCCACAAAGTCGTGAGCCATATCCAGACGCATTCGGCGAGGTGGGCCACCTCGCTGCCGGGCAGGAGTTTGAAGGCCAGCGGGTGTTGCCGACAGAGCAGCCGGCAGCCTGCATCCGCCAAACGGCACGCCAGTTTAAGAAGAGAAGAGGACTAGGAGCCGATGCCGCGCATCCCACGGACGTCAGCTTGGCGAGCGATGCAGCTTTGACATCCCTGGGGTTCTTCTGGCATTTGGCGGAACGTCTCGGGCATCATCTCAGCTCGCTCTGAATCTCACTGTGCTGGTTCCCAGACCCGATCGAAGGATTGAGACCGATTAGGCCCCTCACCGGCCTTTGCAGGGTGTTCGACAGGTTTACGCGTCCCGAAGCTGATCTTTGGGCGGCTCGATGGGCTCGAGATCGATGGGCTGATCTTTGGGCGGCTCGGATCGAGGTTGACTGGCTGTAGCTCCGCCGTCACCCACGAGGCAACCCGAGCTCGCCAGGACACCAATCAACCCGTCTTCTATATGTTTGTTTTTTCCGTCTTGCGAGTAGTCAGTACGTCTGCATTCCCATTTTTGTGCACGTGGTGCCATTCTCTCCTCAACGCAGAAGGATACCGAAGGATGAGGAGGAGAAGACGGCGGAAGCGGAGGAGGCGGAACATGGGGAGGAGGAGGAGGAGGAGGAGGAGGAGTAGGAGGAGATGGGGGAGGAAAGGGATGGCGGCGGAAATGAGGAATGGAAGTGGAAGGGCTAGAGGAGGAGCACAAGTCACGGCGTGGGTTGTTTTACAGCGCGGCGCGGAAGAGGACAATGAGACAGCGGCGGCGAAGTAGGACGAGGCAGAGGGATTGATCCACTTTGTGAGTGGGGGTCCAGTCGCGAAGGGAAAAGGTTTGTTCGACACGACACCTCACCATCCATAAGCTCAACGACGACAACAAGCAGGAGGAAACACCCTGCGAGAGAGATGAGGCCGACGGTGTCGCGACGCATTCCTGTTATCGCCCTTCGCTTCTATGCAAGGGAGTTTCCACCAGCTACAAACTTGCATGGTTGATGTTCGTAGAGCGGACACGTCGACACTCTCAGACACCCTTTGCCAGCGTTGGTGCGTTATGGTGCGAAACGCGAGCGCGTGACACGTGCAACCCAGGAGCTTCAGACTCGTGGTGGAACGGCGAATGTCACAACAGTTAACACATTCGGCGCCGTCGTGCGGCGAGACGAGTGTGGCAATGGCCGCATCGCGCACGCTGGCACGACGACGGTGTGAGGACGGACTGCACGTACTGCCTACCACCGTACTTATGAGCTGGCCAAAACCAGATCACGCATGCAGCTCGGCAACAGAACAGGGACGACCAGCAGGTCCTGTGCCCCCCTCGCGCCCGCCCGTCGTAAGACTGCGCACCACGACAGAACCGATCGCCTGCCATCTGCACGAGTTTGATTTGCTTGCCTTCTGCCGTCGCCAACCCGGCCGAGCGCCAAATTCCGAGAAAGTGGATCATGCGCAGGCCCCACATCGTGGCCTCTTAGTCGCCCAAGCGTCACGCGACGGCGGAGAGCGTAGCCTAGCGAAGCCTCGTGCCAAACAGTTACGCAGTGTGCAAGCCACCTGTGCTAGAGAGATGACGTGGTAGAGGTGGAAGGTGCTATAGCTGAGAGAGACATAGGGAGGCGAGAGAGAGGGAGGAAGAAGAGAGGGAGGAGGAGAAGGTAGAGGAGGAGGAAAAGGAGGAAGGAGGAGGAGGTGGAGGTTGCCGAGAAGGACTGGGAGGAGAAAGAAACACAGGAGGAGGACGGAGACAGGGCGAGGCGGAAGAGTAGATGAAGGCGGAGGGTGAGGGAGAGGGCGGTACGAAGATGGAGGAAACGAGGGCAAGGGAGCGAGAGAGCGAGAGAGCGAGTGGAAAGAAGGAGAAGCGGGAGGAGAACGAGGAGGAGGACCAGCATGTCACCGAACGTGGAGGCTGCCTGTGAGCATGCGACTCAACGAAGTTGGGGATTGGCTTCGGGCGCTGATTGGCTGGGCGGAAGGGGGGGAAAGGGGAAGCCCAGAAGGGGAAGAGGAGGGGACGAGGGGGCGGGGTATGGACGGGGCCCGAGAAGCGGTCGGAGCCGGCGGCGCCCAGATGTCGTTGGGCGAGAAGTCGAAGCTCCACATCAGATCGGACCTTCGGGGACGCCGAGGGGTTTGACCCAGCCCGGGAGAGCCAAGAGCGTGCGCCGCATTCATGGGTGAGTCAGAGTAGGAGGAAGAGGAGGAGGAGGAGGAGGAGGAGGAGGAGGAGGAGGAGGAGGGCGGGATGGGGAACAGCGGCAGTGGGAGGAGGAGGAGGAGGAGAAGGAGGAGGAGGAGGAGGAGGAGGCGGAGGAGAAAGTGTAGGAGGTGGCTTCGTGCCTGCTCCTACCTTGTCGATCATTTCGAATGCAACTTGAGCCTTTCGGGCAGATGGGCATCTGTGATCGAGGATCCCGTGAACTCGTCGCAGGATGCATGGCAAAGCAAGTCGAGGGCCGCTGCCGTGTTCTGGAATACCAGCTCCGCGCTGGGACCCCAGGGCAGCAGCCATTTGCCGCGGTGCCTCTAGAGCTCTGCCGAAAGCAGATTCGACGAGACACTCCCGGTGGGCCGCTGGTGTAGCGGCACCCGCCCCTAATGCCACGTCACAGCCAGTTCTTCCCCGATGATGCCGCGCGGCAAGAATATTGCCCGCGTAGTCGTTCCTGCGAGCGCGACGCAGAAGATGTCGGACTGCAGTTCAGTCATTACCTTCCACCGTAACAGCCGTCCATCGCATGTTTGGGGCTTCCACGACAAAGTTTGACGGCTTCGTGCCTGTTCCTACCAGGTCGATCATTCCGAATACAACTTGAGCCTTTCGGGCAGATGGGCCCCGTGATCTCGTCGCAGGATGCATGGCAAAGCAAGTCGAGGGCCGCTGCCGTGTTCTGGAATATCAGCTCCGCGCTGGGACCCCAGGGCAGCAGCCATTTGCCGCGGTGCCTCTAGAGCTCTGCCGAAAGCAGATTCGACGAGACACTCCCGGTGGGCCGCTGGTGTAGCGGCACCCGCCCCTAATGCCACGTCACAGCCAGTTCTTCCCCGATGATGCCGCGCGGCAAGAATATTGCCCGCGTAGTCGTTCCTGCGAGCGCGACGCAGAAGATGTCGGACTGCAGTTCAGTCATTACCTTCCACCGTAACAGCCGTCCATCGCATGTTTGGGGCTTCCACGACAAAGTTTGACGGCTTCGTGCCTGTTCCTACCAGGTCGATCATTCCGAATACAACTTGAGCCTTTCGGGCAGATGGGCCCCGTGATCTCGTCGCAGGATGCATGGCAAAGCAAGTCGAGGGCCGCTGCCGTGTTCTGGAATATCAGCTCCGCGCTGGGACCCCAGGGCAGCAGCCATTTGCCGCGGTGCCTCTAGAGCTCTGCCGAAAGCAGATTCGACGAGACACTCCCGGTGGGCCGCTGGTGTAGCGGCACCCGCCCCTAATGCCACGTCACAGCCAGTTCTTCCCCGATGATGCCGCGCGGCAAGAATATTGCCCGCGTAGTCGTTCCTGCGAGCGCGACGCAGAAGATGTCGGACTGCAGTTCAGTCATTACCTTCCACCGTAACAGCCGTCCATCGCATGTTTGGGGCTTCCACGACAAAGTTTGACGGCTTCGTGCCTGTTCCTACCAGGTCGATCATTCCGAATACAACTTGAGCCTTTCGGGCAGATGGGCCCCGTGATCTCGTCGCAGGATGCATGGCAAAGCAAGTCGAGGGCCGCTGCCGTGTTCTGGAATATCAGCTCCGCGCTGGGACCCCAGGGCAGCAGCCATTTGCCGCGGTGCCTCTAGAGCTCTGCCGAAAGCAGATTCGACGAGACACTCCCGGTGGGCCGCTGGTGTAGCGGCACCCGCCCCTAATGCCACGTCACAGCCAGTTCTTCCCCGATGATGCCGCGCGGCAAGAATATTGCCCGCGTAGTCGTTCCTGCGAGCGCGACGCAGAAGATGTCGGACTGCAGTTCAGTCATTACCTTCCACCGTAACAGCCGTCCATCGCCAGAAGATGTCGGACTGCAGTTCAGTCATTATCCGTAAGGGCTTCGCCTCCGTGCCGCCGGCCCCCCTTTCTTGGAATGGGACTCGCCAGAGCAGTGTTGGGATGTCTGGTCGCTGACGTGAAATGTACGAGGGTTCGTGACTTCGGGGGCGCGAAGATTTCGTAATTTACGGGGGTTATGGCTTCGGGGACGCGAATGTTGAGTAACTTACGAGGGATTATGGCTTCGAAATTTACAAAGGTTTATGGCTTCGGGGACGCGAATATGGTGTAATTGATTCGTGTGTATGGCCTCGGGGGCGCGACCATTTTGTTTTTTTACGCGTCCCACGACCCCCCGGAAATTCAAACAACGCGATTCGGGGACTCTAACCAGGACGCTTTTCGGCCCCTCCCCTCGCGCGTTCAGCAACAACTAATAGTAAGGAAGCAGAAAGCAGGACTGTAACAGTGGAAACTGGAAACTGCAACTGGCACATGGAGCTGCAAGCCTACTCTTCGCAGCCTGATGGCCCCGCAAGGGGCCGGCGGACTTTCACCGTAACAGCCGTGTCTCTTCTGTTTGGGGCTTCCTCGTATAATTTTGGCGGCTTCGTGCCTGTTCCTACCTTGTCGATCATTTCGAATGCAACTTGAGCCTTTCGGGCAGATGGGCATCTGTGATCGAGGATCCCGTGAACTCGTCGCAGGATGCATGGCAAAGCAAGTCGAGGGCCGCTGCCGTGTTCTGGAATATCAGCTCCGCGCTGGGACCCCAGGGCAGCAGCCATTTGCCGCGGTGCCTCTAGAGCTCTGCCGAAAGCAGATTCGACGAGACACTCCCGGTGGGCCGCTGGTGTAGCGGCACCCGCCCCTAATGCCACGTCACAGCCAGTTCTTCCCCGATGATGCCGCGCGGCAAGAATATTGCCCGCGTAGTCGTTCCTGCGAGCGCGACGCAGAAGATGTCGGACTGCAGTTCAGTCATTACCTTCCACCGTAACAGCCGTCCATCGCATGTTTGGGGCTTCCACGACAAAGTTTGACGGCTTCGTGCCTGTTCCTACCAGGTCGATCATTCCGAATACAACTTGAGCCTTTCGGGCAGATGGGCCCCGTGATCTCGTCGCAGGATGCATGGCAAAGCAAGTCGAGGGCCGCTGCCGTGTTCTGGAATATCAGCTCCGCGCTGGGACCCCAGGGCAGCAGCCATTTGCCGCGGTGCCTCTAGAGCTCTGCCGAAAGCAGATTCGACGAGACACTCCCGGTGGGCCGCTGGTGTAGCGGCACCCGCCCCTAATGCCACGTCACAGCCAGTTCTTCCCCGATGATGCCGCGCGGCAAGAATATTGCCCGCGTAGTCGTTCCTGCGAGCGCGACGCAGAAGATGTCGGACTGCAGTTCAGTCATTACCTTCCACCGTAACAGCCGTCCATCGCCAGAAGATGTCGGACTGCAGTTCAGTCATTATCCGTAAGGGCTTCGCCTCCATGCCGCCGGCCCCCCTTTCTTGGAATGGGACTCGCCAGAGCAGTGTTGGGATGTCTGGTCGCTGACGTGAAATGTACGAGGGTTCGTGACTTCGGGGGCGCGAAGATTTCGTAATTTACGGGGTTATGGCTTCGGGGACGCGAATGTTGAGTAACTTACGAGGGATTATGGCTTCGAAATTTACAAAGGTTTATGGCTTCGGGGACGCGAATATGGTGTAATTGATTCGTGTGTATGGCCTCGGGGGCGCGACCATTTTGTATTTTTACGCGTCCCACGACCCCCCGGAAATTCAAACAACGCGATTCGGGGACGCTAACCAGGACGCTTTTCGGCCCCTCCCCTCGCGCGTTCAGCAACAACTAACAGTAAGGAAGCAGAAAGCAGGACTGTAACAGTGGAAACTGGAAACTGCAACTGGCACATGGCAGCTGATGGGGCAAGCCTACTCTTTCGCAGCATCTGATGAGTCGCCATCGCAGGAGTGGTCGCGCATGGGCAAGGACTTTCACTCGTAAGCAGCCGTGTCTCTTCGTCGTTTGCCGCGCGGGAATATTGCCCGCGTAGTCGTTCCTGCGAGCGCGACGCAGAAGATGTCGGACTGCAGTTCAGTCATTACCTTCCACCGTAACAGCCGTCCATCGTATGTTTGGGGCTTCCACGACAAAGTTTGACGGCTTCGTGCCTGTTCCTACCAGGTCGATCATTCCCAATACACATTGAGCCTTTCGGGCAGATGGGCCCCGTGATCTCGTCGCAGGATGCATGGCAAAGCAAGTCGAGGGCCGCTGCCGTGTTCTGGAATATCAGCTCCGCGCTGGGACCCCAGGGCAGCAGCCATTTGCCGCGGTGCCTCTAGAGCTCTGCCGAAAGCAGATTCGACGAGACACTCCCGGTGGGCCGCTGGTGTAGCGGCACCCGCCCCTAATGCCACGTCACAGCCAGTTCTTCCCCGATGATGCCGCGCGGCAAGAATATTGCCCGCGTAGTCGTTCCTGCGAGCGCGACGCAGAAGATGTCGGACTGCAGTTCAGTCATTACCTTCCACCGTAACAGCCGTCCATCGCCAGAAGATGTCGGACTGCAGTTCAGTCATTATCCGTAAGGGCTTCGCCTCCATGCCGCCGGCCCCCCTTTCTTGGAATGGGACTCGCCAGAGCAGTGTTGGGATGTCTGGTCGCTGACGTGAAATGTACGAGGGTTCGTGACTTCGGGGGCGCGAAGATTTCGTAATTTACGAGGGTTATGGCTTCGGGGACATGAATGTTGAGTAACTTACGAGGGATTATGGCTTCGAAATTTACAAAGGTTTATGGCCTCGGGGACGCGAATATGGTGTAATTGATTCGTGTGTATGGCCTCGGGGGCGCGACCATTTTGTATTTTTACGCGTCCCACGACCCCCCGGAAATTCAAACAACGCGATTCGGGGACGCTAACCAGGACGCTTTTCGGCCCCTCCCCTCGCGCGTTCAGCAACAACTAACAGTAAGGAAGCAGAAAGCAGGACTGTAACAGTGGAAACTGGAAACTGCAACTTGCACATGGAGCTGCAAGCCTACTCTTCGCAGCCTGATGGCCCCGCAAGGGGCCGGCGGACTTTCACCGTAACAGCCGTGTCTCTTCTGTTTGGGGCTTCCACGTATAAC